GATGATGATGATGATGATGATGGCTTTGCTGAGGAGGGTGGTGATGATGATGATGATGATGATGATGATGATGATGATGATGATGGCTTTGCTGAGGAGGGTGGTGATGATGATGATGATGATGATGATGATGATGATGGCTTTGCTGAGGAGGGTGGTGATGATGATGGTGATGATGATGATGATGATGATGATGGCTTTGCTGAGGAGGGTGGTGATGATGATGATGATGATGATGATGATGATGATGGTTTTGCTGAGGAGGGTGATGATGATGATGATGATGGCTTTGCTGAGGAGGGTGGTGATGATGATGATGATGATGATGATGATGATGATGATGGCTTTGCTGAGGAGGGTGGTGATGATGATGATGATGATGATGATGGCTTTGCTGAGGAGGGTGGTGATGATGATGATGATGATGGCTTTGCTGAGGAGGGTGGTGATGATGATGATGATGATGATGATGATGATGGCTTTGCTGAGGAGGGTGGTGATGATGATGATGATGATGGCTTTGCTGAGGAGGGTGGTGATGATGATGATGATGATGATGATGATGATGATGATGATGATGGCTTTGCTGAGGAGGGTGGTGATGATGATGATGATGATGGCTTTGCTGAGGAGGGTGGTGATGATGATGATGATGATGATGATGATGGCTTTGCTGAGGAGGGTGGTGATGATGATGATGATGATGATGATGATGATGATGGCTTTGCTGAGGAGGGTGGTGATGATGATGATGATGATGATGATGATGATGATGATGATGATGGCTTTGCTGAGGAGGGTGGTGATGATGATGATGATGATGATGATGATGATGGCTTTGCTGAGGAGGGTGGTGATGATGATGGTGATGATGACGATGATGATGATGATGGCTTTGCTGAGGAGGGTGGTGATGATGATGATGATGATGATGATGATGATGATAATGATGATGGTTTTGCTGAGGAGGGTGATGATGATGATGATGATGGTTTTGCTGAGGAGGGTGATGATGATGATGATGATGATGATTGTTTTTTCAACAGCGGTCAGCCAATCAGCAGCAGGCTCAGACTGGAGGATGGACGAATCGGAGAGCGGCCGGCTGTTGTTTATCACGTTTTCCACTCTTTGGCCTTCGGGTTCCTGACGCTGGTGTTTGATGGGTGAGTTCTGCAGCATCTCTCTGGGGTCTGGAGCAGAACCTTCTGGGTTTTTCTGGAGCAGTTCCGTGTTCTTTGTTCCTGCAGGATGAAGTATTTATGGACTCCACACGTCTGCGTGCTGACAGCTTTTGGTGTTTGTTCTCCAGAACTCTGGATGACTGTGTTCAAATGGCTCAGACTGAAGTCTGTCCACCCCGTGGTTCTGGTCAGTTCTTTGTTGTTGTTGTTGTTTACAGTTGTTCCTATGAATGTCCAGATGTTGAACAGGTCCAGGAGCAGGAACAGCAGTGTAGAAGTACAACAGTAAAACAACAACTCCACAGCGGAAACACAAAAAGGGGTAATCATATTAAATGACGTAACAGAAATGAAGTAAACGAACGAACGTCTGCTAGATGATTGAAACCATGCAGCATAAACGGGTCGCCGCTGCTCGGTGAATGGTTCTCTCTGAATCTGCAGAGCATATGTTGATTCCTCCATCTGAGGATGTCTCACCTCATCGATCCACACATTATATGAAGGTGGGTTAGGGTTAGCCATGTGATGGTGATGCACTTTAGTGCCGCTGTAATTAATAAGACAAACCCCGTGGCTATACTCCCAAAATGGCAACTGTTGGTGGAAAATTAAATATGGCGTTCCAAAGTGGGCACATTTTTGGGCATGACCAGGGAATGTGTGAGTGGGATCTAAGTGAGTACCACAGTTTCGCCAGCAGGTGTCAGGAGTTGAAGGATTAATTTGAACAAGTATACGCGGTGTTCTGAAACGGCCCTCTTTCATTTAAATAGTCTCCACATCCCCGAGTTAGTCTGAAGTATGAGTGCCAGTCTCAGCCTGCCGCCTTGCCTTCTCATTCAGAATCGCACCGGGTTTCCCTCTCACCCAAACCCAAGTCCCCCCGCCCACCACACACTGGAAAAAGCAACTCCACAGTTGTTCCTTAGTTACTAATGTTTTATTTTAAATATTCACACAGCAACTCTTTAAAGGCAACAGCCTGAAGAATAAATGTAAGCTTGAAAGACAAGTAACCTGAGAATATTACAATAACCAGCAACTCAAGATGTCAGGGGGGGGGGGCAATCAAAAGCGAAACTCAAATATCAGCGTCATCATTTGCTGGGGCCAGTCAGCAGGATCCACGGGGCCAGCAGCTCACACACGTCTGTTGAAGCTGATGATGATGATGATGGTGTCTCTTCGGCTGCTGGATCGGAGCACTGAGTCTGCTGGTGTTGGGTTCTTCTTCTGTGAGAAAATAAACACACACACACACACACACACACACACACACACACACGCACGCACACACACACGCACGCACACACGCACACACACGCACACACACACGCACGCACACACACACACGCACACACACACGCACGCACACACACACGCACACACGCACGCACACACACACGCACACACACACGCACGCACACACACACGCACACACACACGCACGCACACACGCACACACACACACGCACACACGCACACACACGCACACACACACACACACACACACACACACCAACTTAGCCCTCTGATGCATGAATTAAGAACAGCGCTACTTTCACATTCAGGATTCCTCGGTCGTGTGCAGTGATGCTTTTCATTATTTTTAACGTTTTTTATTTTATTGATCTTTTTTTATCTGTTCTATGAAAACATGAATGAAATGATCAAAAACAGGTGGAAGTGGGGAATATTTGAAAAAACTTATGTCTCACTCTCAGGTGCTCTTCAGCATCAAATACACCGTAGAACATGAGGAAGAAGATCCGGTGATCTGAGGCACTCTGAGGATTTCATTTATTAAACAAGGAAACGCCGACGCGTTTCTGTACGACCTTCTTCAGGACATAAACCTTTATACCCTGAAGATGACTCACTATGTCACAAAAACTAACGTCCATCCTTTTTTTACAAATGTACAGCCTAACTGACAATAACATCTTAAGGAGACAATTTCAGATGTGTGTGTTGAGATTATTTAATATTCTCAATGCTAAATCAATGCTGCACTGATTGTGCCAAAAACACGTGTCTGGTGTGGACTTAAATAAATTAATTTTGCATATCGATACATGTGATAAGCCGTTTAATTTGAAGAAGCCCGTTTCTACTGCTGATTACAAATAGCCTAACAAGTAACTCACCTGGTTCTAGATGCTGAGACCGTAGCTCAGTGCTGCGTGACGCCTGGATAGAAGACGCTGCAGCGTAAACAAGAAAGAGACGGCAGAAGATGTCATGCTGTGTTTAGGCAGTTCTCACTCCCGCCGGGCCCGGCGGCAGCGGGGGAGTCCCCGCCACGGCTGGAAAAATTCCTAGGGGAAACACTGTAGTACTTGTAGTAAAACTCATGAATGTGCTATAAAACTACTGATCAGCTTTGAGAAGGAGTGGCTGATGTATTAGAGGAATATGTCCTCGGTGGCTGAGGGCTCCGGAACTTTCTTCCATTCTTTGTCTTGTCAAAAAACGTCTTAGTTGCAGAAATGTGAAAACATCAGGAGAAGGAAGCTGAAACACAACTTTTAACTGTTCAGAAGATCCCAGGGGTCCGTTCTTCATAACATGACGAATCCCCTTATTTGACCGTTTTGAGGCCAGAGTCTTCAGAGTAGGAGCAAACCTGCAGGGAGGTAAGCTTGATAGAACTGAGATTTCCTTTGGATCCAAGCCACATCTTCAGTGTAATCCTTGTCCATTCCCTCATGCACACCTTGTTAAGTGAAATGTCAGCAAAAACAGGGATTCCTGTGATCCTTCGCATGTCGTCTTCTCGGTGTTAAGCCACTGAGTTTCAGACAGATCCCACATCCACACGGTCAGGGGTCTCGTCTGAGCTGCATGACCAGAAATAATATTTCATATCTGGAACCGCCAATCCCGCCTTCAGTTTGAAACCTGATGCTTGGACGTTTGCCTGGCCATATACGTTTGGAGAAGAGTCTGTCTAGACTGTCAAATGTGGAGATGGAAATGTTTACAGGCAGCGTCTGAAAAAGGTACAAAAGTCTAGGTAGAACATTCGTGCGAATACTCTCAACTCGTCCCAGTAAAGACAGACGTAGGACCGCCCATCGCCCAGTTCCTGTTCAATATTTGACACTGTACCTTCATAATTTACTTCATGAGTACGGAATCTGAATTCCTAAGTACTTGATCCCCTCATTTGGGCATTTAAAACCACGTTGGTCCTTGAATGTTTCCTCCGATAGCCATGGCTAATGCTTTATCCGTGTTAACTTCATATCCAGAAAGGTAGCCATATTTGCTGATAATTTCCTTGAAAAGAGGTGACCTAACTGCAGGATCTGAAATGTATACAAGTATATTGTCTGCATATATGGACAGTTTATGCTGCTATCTATTGGTTGAAAGGCCCTGAATTTGGTGTGTATGTCTAATCAGCTGCGCGAAAGGCTCAATACTTAAATCGAACAGCGGGGGGACAATGGGCGTCCCTGCCTTCATCCACGGTCCAGTGGAAATCTGGCTTATAGAGCTCCGGACCCCACGTGACTCTCAGTTAGTAGACGCCATATTGGCAGGTAAAAGAAGCTAAACAAACACGGATGTAAACATGAACGTGAACGGGATCAGCTTGGATTTTACCTCGTCGGAGTTTACTTCACACTTTAAAACCGAAGAAATCGTTTTATATAGTCAGAAATTAAATAGACTAAACATCTCCGACCCTTACCGTGTCCCTGGGATACTTTTTAAAAATGCCAGAAGCTGTTGGAGCGGACTTCTTACCGGACCTGGCTGGGAAACCCCTTGGGATTTACCCGGAGGAGCTGGCTCCGGCGGCTGGGGAGAGGGAAGTCTGGGCCTCTCAACGCTACTGCCCCCGTAACCCGACTCCGGATACGCGGATGGAAAATGGATGGACAAATAACAGATTTACATGTAAGTAGTTTAAATAGAGTGCTGTGCTGTTTGAATGTATAAACTGAACGCCAAGAGAAATCACTAGTCTGATTTTTTTCCGTGAATAAAATAAAAATGTCAGGCAGGAGCGTCTCAGGATCTGTCTGAGATCCGTCTCGGTGAGACAGATAATAGCAATCCAAAGTGCTTTTTATGTGTGATCTGACAATGGATCAACCATTGCTTAAAAATTAAATACAGCTTAGCCGGTTAATTGCTGAGATCATAAAACACGTAAACGGCAGCACGCAGAACTCACGAGGCAACGTTTTACGTGATGTTTACTTGTTGCTGTGAGTAATAAGACAGAAAAAGCCACGCCAAAATAAGTTTAGGAAGCCCACTAAGAATCGTAATAAAAGCATTTAAAATAAATACCACACACAGTTGAGGAAACGTTGGTTTAAGTACCTGATATGAAGCGGTCGCTGCATAAGCGAAAACCTTTACTCTCGGGGTCCCACAGCTTCATTTTAGCCCGGTCACTAGCGCGTTTTATTACAATGATCCAACGTTTGCGGCGCTCCGGATCTTGGGGAATCCTGTAGAAGGCTCATTCCTTATGTCGTCCGCGTCTGTTCTGCATCCTTGTGCACAACAGGAATCTACCATATTTCCTGTCTGATTGAGTTTTCTGACAATAACAAATAGTCCAGCTGCGGGCTTCTGCCTGCCAATATGGCGCCGTTTCGATTTGAACTGTTGCATGCCGGGAGAAGTGACGTCAACTCGCGGAGCTCTATATTGTTCCATTTACCCACACAGCCGCCAGTGGTTTAGAGTAAAGAACCAGTGTCCATTTAGTAAAACCTGGTCCACATTTTAATCTTTCAAGTGTGTGGCCCAAGTACTGCCAGGAAACTCTGTCAAATGCTTTTTGTGCATCCAGGGACAGAATCTTTGTTTCTTCTTGTTTAGTGTACAAGGACCTAGCGCCTGTTCAACAGCCTGCGGACGCTGTCCCCATGGTGCCTTCCCACACTTCCCTGTTTGATCTGGTTGTAACGTGTGATAATCCTACTAACTCTTTTGGCTAAGGCCGTGGATAGGATGTGCAAGTCGGTATTACGTAATGAAATTGGCCTGAATGATCAACAGTTTGTAGGGTCCTTGGTTATCACTGGTCAACCGTCCATTTTAGCTGTGGAAGCCAACTCAGGCGTTTGGCTAGCGGTGTTGTCGCCTCTTTCACCGTGGCTGCAGTGTTCTTAGCTGTCGACGAGGCCACGTGTTTGTATTTTCACATATTAGCACCATAAAGGCTCTTTGTTGAAACCGTATCCGTGGGGATTTGCTTAAAGGTGTCAGGCTGGCTTTAGGAGGAGGTAACTGAGGTGCATGTTTAAGCTGGAATGTGCAGGAAAGCGTGTTCACGACCCGTTCTGGTCGGTTCTCACTGGGCTTTAGAGCAACACTCGATCTGGTTTGTTTTTTATGTTTTTGCAGTAAATAAATCTAATCTTTTGTTTTCTAGTCTCTGATTTTGAGCACGGCTGTTCCAACCATCATCTGCTTCAGTTTGTGGAGAGAGGTAAGACGTTCCTTCTTGCCAACGTTCTACAGAACCTCATTTTATTGTAAACGTTCTCCAGAACTCTCCGACCGTCTGATTTGTGTTTCAGTTCTACCCTCGTGTTTTATCTGAGCTGGTGGACCTGCAGGAGTTCTGTGAGCCAGACCTGGTGGAGCTGATCAACTGGATCAGGTCTGACTTGGTTCGCTGGATCCAAGACTGAGGACGTGGTCTCCTGTTGAAGTAACATGGGTTTTTTCTGCAGGTCCCGGGCTCCTGCAGCAGCAGTGTTTGCTGGCAGCCCTCAGCTGTTGGGAACCATAAAACTCTGTTCTGGCTCGGTTGTTACCAGTTTACCTATCTTCACAGACGTGGACTTGTTGAGGAGAACCGAAGATGTGAGTTGGAGGATTCTGTTGTACTCCAGGTCATCTCCCTCCGAACTGAAGGGCCTCCACGGGAGTATGTAAGAAACGTGACCCCTCGTTACTCCGTCCCCATGATACAAGTTTCTTACATACTCGGTGGAGGTGCCGCTACGCGCCGAGCCAAGCAGAATACCAACGTCATCATCACCTCCGGCTTACCAACCACATCTATGATGAATGACGTGAACATGACACCTGCTGGCGGCCACTCACACTCGCTGTTTTGAACCTGTTGAGTTTTTCTTGTCAGAAAAATGTCTGAACTTCAAAAAACGTGTGTCCTCCTAGACCTACCAGGTATATGCCATGAGGTCTGCAGAGGATGTCTACAAACGTCTGACGGCTCAGAAAACCAGCTATGTGATCATCGAGGAGTCCATCTGTAATGAAGTCTGGACACAAAATGGCTGTAGAGTCAAAGATCTCCTAGACATCTCCAACAGACACGTGGGTTTTAAAGCCACCACTTTCAGGAGATGGTGTCCAGTCTAAAAAGCATAACCCTAATCTCTGTCTCCATGGTTTGTGCCGCTCAGGTCATCCACAGTAATGGAGAGATGTTCTCACTGTCCAAACATGGTCGGTTCTGCCAGGAGATAAAGATGGACTACTCTCCTTACACCAACTACTTCACCCGGGTCTTCTGGAACCGCTCGTATCACGTCTACAAAGTCAACTCTGTCCTCTCCTTCCAGTTCTGACAGCAGGAGGTTTCCAGGGCGCTCCAGACAAATCCAGACCTGTAGCACCAGGTTCTGATTGGCTGCTGTAGCTTAACAAACCTCGTTAGTGTTGATCGTGTGGGTTAAAGGCTCGGCTTGGTTGACCTGTTGACCAGAACCTTCTGGGTGTGTGCTGAGCCATCAGCAGGAACAAGACATCCGGTCCTGATACACCAGAATCTGCACTGACACTGGAACATCTCACCTGGATCAGAACACCCACCTGAATGCACCTCAGTCTTCTGTTAAGGACCGAACATCAGGAGGAGCTTTGGACCGACGCTGGATTCCCAGTTCAGAGAAGAAAAAGTCCAGAGTGGCGTTTAGGGTTTGAACCGGTTAACCCCCACCTGACCCTTAAAGGTGTGGAAACGGTCGTGTTAAGCCCTCCACGGATGTTGCATCGTGCTAGTTCCTGAAACAGGCCACACCTTTAACCCTAACCCCAGCTGGGCTTTCTGATCCAGTTGAACTTACATCCTTATTTGAAACTTGATTTGCTGCCTTGTTCAGAAGTAAAGGTAACAGTTGAATTATTTTACGTGTGTGTATGCGTGAGATCATCCATTAGTGGATCTGGTAACATTTGGACTACAGCAGTTGGTAAATGTTCCCACACATGCTGACTCACACCCTGGATTCGGTTTTATCTGTTGGACGGGATGTGCATGATTTATCTGTGGATCCTGTGGCGTTTTCCGACCATGCTGTGATCACGTTCAGCATCTCGCGTCTCCTTCCTCCAGCCCGGCGACGGTCTGCTCGTTACTCCAGGCGCTTATCTCCGAGTACGACTTCCAACTTTCTGTCGGTTTTGGACACGGATGCCCTCGCTCCGCCCTTGTCGGTTTCCTGCATGGATGTAGATGGCCTTCTGCATCGGTTCAGTGTGACCTGCTCTGCTGCTCTGGACGCTGTTGCCCCTCTGAGACCGAGGCAGAAACAGACAACATCCGACTCTTGGCTGAATGATTACACCCGTAGCCTCAGGCGACAGTGCAGGGTACTGGAGCGGAGGTGGAGGAGAGACAGACTTTCATGCTCTCGGCTGCTCCTGGTTGATGACTTTCACGCTACCAGAGAGCAGTTAGATCGAGAGGGTGCTCGCTGCAGAACCACAAAGGTGGAGCTGCACCAGAGTCAGCCCCGCCCATTCACGCAAACTCAGCCTAACCCACTGACTTCCGTTTTTGTTTTCAACTTTATCGCAAACTGACCTGACCCACATGAATTACGGCTGTTACTAGTTTACAGTCGTTAATGCTATGTTCTATGCTCCAATTAAACAAGATAAATATGACTTGCTACATGACAAAGACTGAATATATCTCGAAATGAAAAGGTTTCTTTTAGCGAATATCTGCCCACAGCCGCTCTAACAAAAGTGGTGAATAACAGCATGTCAGATTTTCGGATGGGCTTATGTAGTCGAGTGGCGAGATCGTATGGGGTAAATTTTGCTTTCCCCTCAGCTGATGCTGGTTCGATTCTCGGTGGGGTTGTCAGCAATCTATTTAGCCAGCTGAAACATTTAATTTGTTTATATTTTAGTTGTAATGTTTATTTTCAGCAAAATTTTTGTCTCTAAAAGTTCTTTGAATTTGGTCGTTCCTAAACAGCATTTTAGTTGAAACTCTGCTCACAAATGGACTCACACTGGCTAAATAAACGAATAAATAAATAAAAAAACACATTAGTCATTATATGTTAAACGGTATACCAGTAAATTGTTTTAAACATAGTACTGGCAAGTGTAGCTAGAAATGAAGAAAAAAGGTTGCACACTACCTAAAACTTTCACTAATGGGAGGCGAACCCGCACAAAACTGATTGTCAACACAATTCCTTAACCACTACACCACCACATCTGTTGTAACTCATGCCGCGTTACATCTAATTGTGCTGCCCAGTGTGTCTCTGAGATGGGTTGTATGTTTTGGCGGTGTCTCAGTAGAAGTCATTTCAGAAATAATTTGTCAGAAAATTCACAGAATATCCAGATTTGAGAACCAAGACCAGACCCGCTTCGGGGAGGAGACCAAATTGAAGCTGCGATGGGAGGAAAATGCATGAATGAGGCTAAAAATGGCTTTGGCGTGTTTCTTATGAGGAAATGACAATATAACATGATTAAAAGTTCCAAAAGTTAGATTTTTAATTATATGGAACTTTTACAAAAACTCTTCAATTAACTTCTCAACTCCGTCCTCAATCTTGCATTTTTTAGCTATAACACCCTCTTTGGTTCCAGAATGCTATCAAGTCTGACAACTGCAAGGAATTAGACTGACTCTGATGGAATGGGCGGGGCTGATTCTGGAATGGGCGGGGCTGACTCTGGTGCAGCTCCACCTTCTGGTGCAGCTCCGCCTTTGTGGTTCTGCAGCGAGCACCACTTGGTTAGATCTGCTCGTAACAACTACTTTTCTGCTATCATTTCACAGCATCATGGAGACCAGTCCAGGCTGTACAGCACAGTTAACTCCCTGCTGCTGTTAAATGAGTCTGATGGTCTAAGGCCCTGTCCACACGTAGCCGGGGATCTGCGTTTTGGCCTGTCATCCACACGAAAACGGAGTTTTTTCACACGAAAACGGATCTTTTTAAAAACTCCGGCCAAAGTGAAGATCTGCTTTTTCTCCGTTTTGGGTGTCTGCGTGTGGACAGACAAAACCGGAGTTTTAAGGTCCGCAGCGTCACTTTCCGCGACAAAAAATGCTGACATCACGTGTGCGACCTGTGTTTACACTAGCCGACAGCATGGAAGCCTTCAGAGCTGCGCCCTGTCACTACCCGATCCATCAATTGTCCAAGCGCTTTTTGCTAGTTTGTTTTTGCAAGCGGAATTACTGCTCCTTGCGGAAGACCACAGACGAAGGGCGAGGTTAAGAACAGGGGAAGTACTGCCGCCTACAGGTCTGGCATGTCCTTAACAACGTATTTATCCGGGTACGTGTGGACAGAGTTTGTTTTTAAAACGCGGTGGTGTGGATGCAAGTTTTTGGAGGGGCGGATATTCGTTTTTAAAAAAAAAACGGCTACGTGTGGACTAGGCCTGAATCCCACTGTTGCTTTGTGCACAGAGCTACAGAGCTTTTTCCTTAACAAGATCCTTGGTATTAGACTTAGCCTCCAGCCTCAAATACACACTATCCATGTAGAACCGCCGGACCCACCTGCCTTCTCAGACTTTGCTCCAGTTCAGCTGACTTGATGAAACTGATTAGCTCCTTGAAGCCAGCTGGCTCTTCGGTGGACTGCCTCCCGGCTAAATTGGTGCGTGACTCGGTGTCTGCACTGAGCCCGGCACTCATGAACATTTTTAACATTAGCCTCAGCACTGGAGTGTTCCCTAAGGTTTTTAAAGATGCGGTTGTTAAGCCGATATTGAAAAAACCTGGTCAGGATCCCTCCACTTATGAGAACCTCCGCCCTATATCGAAAGTCCCGTTTCTCTCAAAGGTCCTTGAGAAAATTGTGCATGGTCAGATCTCTGCTCATATGAACAACAACTCGTTGTTGGATGTGTTTCAGTCCGCCTTTAGACCAAACCATAGCACTGAGTCTGCTTTGGTTAGGGTGCTAAATGACATTCTGGTGACATCTGACTCTGGGTCTAGGGTACTGCTGCTCCAGCTGGACCTTTCAGCGGCTTTTGATACGGTCGATCACCATATTTTACTGGATCGGCTTGGGTCTTGGGTTGGGGTGATGGGGTGGCACATAAATGGCTCCGCTCCTACCTATCGAACCGTACCATCTCTGTACAGATTGGTGACTGTGCATCCTCCTGTCTTCTACTGCCTTGAGGGGTGCCACAAGGTCCCGTTCTTGGGCCATTGCTGTTTTATATCTACCTTCTGCCTCTGGGCAACATCCTGAATCAGCATGGCCTGAGCTATCACATCTACGCAGATGACTGTCAGCTATACGTGGAAATGGATGAGAAGAATGTGGGCTCGCGATTGGCTGCATGTTAGGGCTGCACAAAATTAGGAAAACCTGCCATATGCGATAACAGTGATTAATACTGCGATGACGATATTACTCGCGATAAATAAAAACTTAACTCAGGAACAAAAGCGATCAAAGACAAAGAAATAAAAAAATGAAAAAAATTATTGTAAAAATGAGAAAAGCTAAAGATGTGAGGAAAAGGAAAAAGAAAATGAAGAAAAGGAAATCCGTGGATCCCGGGAAAAGCAGAATCAGCAGAAAGAGCAACAAAGCTAACTCAGGTGCTTGCTAACCATCAAAATTAAGGGTGTTTCTCAATGTCAAGGAACCTCGCCTTGATGTCTTGGCCCCGGCCCGGTTGCCTAGGAGATACGTCATCGGGAGCCGCTAAGACATGTTCGAATGTTCATGTTCTACCGAGGCGTGTTCATTTGTTAGCCGTTTAGCTAGCTGAGCGAGGATACACGGGAGGTGTCTTGTAGCCTAGCCTTGGTCAAAAATGACCCACAATACACCACATCCTGTATTTTCTAAAGGACGGCGGATCAGAAGCCGGCAGCTACTTCGGGGACAAATTTCAAGTTTAAAAGTAAGTCAGCTAATTTAATATGTTTTTTTTTTGGATCCAAAGGTTGGTTAGTAGCTTAGTAGTTGCAGCTTCGGTGGCTAGCGGGTAGCAACTCACTTATATATTTAATTTAATAAACATACACGATTTAAAAAGTAAAAGGCTCGTTATATATTTATACTGAAACTAATACATATAAAATATAACGTTATCTCCCGTGTCACGTGACGTTACGTGACCGCCTTGGAAGCCGCGGTCACGTGATGCAAGTCTGTTCCATTTAACCGTTTTCTTTGAACAAGGAAGGACAGTGTCCTCGTAAGCAAGGCGCCTGGCCTCACAAGACATCGCCTCGCAAGGCCAGGCACCTTGGCAATGAGAAACACCCTAAGTGTCGTCCGCCTCGGGGGCGGGCCTCTAACCCATGAGAACCCACCCGATTGGCCAAATGGGTGAAGAGCTCTATTAGAGTTGTTTAAAAACATCATGCTTCCGTTTGACAGAATGCATTGTGTAGCAAACATTTGAGCTGACCAATTATTGCAATATTTATCCGCTCTTTGCGATATGCATATTGTGCGTGCTGATATCGCGATAACGATATATTTGCGATATATTGTGCAGCCCTACTGCATGTTTAGATGACGTGAAGGGCTGGCTGGCATCCAACTTCTTAAAGTTAAATGAAAAGAAGTCTGAGTTTATTGTTTTTGACCCCCGCAACCACCATGGCTCTCACCCTGTTTGTGACCTTTTAACCCTCAACCCCAAACAGTGTGTGACGAGTCTCGGGGTCAAGCTGGATGCTGGACTCACAATGGCCCCACAGATAAACTCCGTAGTGAGGTCTTGCTTTTATCAGCTTCGCCGCCTTACTCACCTCAGACGAATCCTGAAACGGAGGCATTTGGAGTCAGTCATTCATGCATTCATTACCTCTCGCCTGGACTACGCAAACGCCCTCCTCGTTGGTGTTCCGGTCTCTGCCCTGAATCGGCTGCAGGTCGTCCAGAATGCTGCTGCCAGGTTCTTGATGAATGCACACCGACGTAGCCACATTACCCCTGTCCTGGCAAGTCTTCACTGGCTCCCTGTCATTTTCAGAGTACAGTTTAAGTTACTGACTTTTGTTTTTAAAGCACTCAATGACCTGGCACCTCCCTACCTCTCTGCCCTTCTCACTCCATATGTACCCACGCGCACGTTGAGGTCGGCTGACCTTTTGCTGCTGTGTACGCCACGGATGCGATAAAAATCGTGGGGTGAACGAGCATTTGTGCATGCTGCCCCAAAGCTGTGGAACTCGTTGCCCATTGGAGTTCGGCAGGCTCCATCACTGGTGGTTCTTAAATCTCGTTTAAAGACCCACTTTTACGATTTGGCTTTTAGACAGTGACTTGTTTTATTGTGTCAGTGTTTTAATGTGTTCTTAGTATTCATCATGTTTTATCTGCTTTTGACTGGTATTTTTATCCTCTGTTTTAGTTTCTTAGAATGGTCGCGTTATGTTATAGCCTGTGCAGCACTTTGGGCAGCTCCCATGCTGCGTTTTAAACGTGCTTTATAAATAAACTATGGTATGGTATGAGCTGTTGCCTTGCAGCAAGGAGGTCCTGGGTTCGCTTCCCGGCCTGGGATCTTTCTGCATGGAGTTAGCATGTTCTCCCTGTGCATGCGTGGGTTCTCTCCGGGTACTCCGGCTTCCTCCCACAGTCCAAAAACATGACTGTTAGGTTGATTGGTCTGTCTAAATTGTCCTTAGGTGTGTGTGTGTGCATGGTTGTTTGTCCTGTGTGTCTCTGTGTTGCCCTGCAATGGACTGGCTCTCTGTCCAGGGTGTACCCCGCCCGTTGACTGCTGGAGATAGCATCCCCCCCTACGTGGACAAGCGGGTTCAGAAGATGGATGGATGGTATGGTATGGTGGTATGTGTTCATGAACACACCTCTTTCTAGTCAGCTGAGTTCCAAAGAGAACATTTTCTCTTGTCTTCACTAAAATCTTCTCTCAAAAGGCTTCATCTTAAATATCTAAACTTATTTTTATCCATTTTAACCAGCATGCAGGTTTTAATCACATTTCTAAATGCAATTAACATTGTTTATTGTTTTTTTAAGTAAATGGTATTTTTACAATTTTACTTTTTAAAGAATTCAAGTGTTTGTTGATAAACACAAATTGTTAAATATTTTTCATCTTTGTTGCAGTAATAGAAGTAATTCTTTGAGCTCAAATATTTCGTCATTTTATCCACGAAAGAGGAAACAACAAAAAGAGCTGCTGTCTCCAAGCTTTCTCTCGTTTCCTGAACGCAACACAAACGTGCCTAAATGCCGCGCAGGCGCACTGGGTTGCTCCTTGGCGACAGAGCGGAACCGGATTCAGAATGGCGACCCGCCGGCGCAGAATGGGTTGTGTGAGAATCGTTCCAAATGTGAGGAGCAGAACTTTGTCAGGATTTTTGTGATTATTAAATTAGCTTTTTCCAATTTGACTTTCCATCCGGGTATTCTAAGGTGAGTTACTGAGCGGATCAGGCTAAAACAAGTTCTAAATAAGCAGCGAGGTTATCAAAATAAAAGCCCTACCCCTCAAAGCCAAAGACTGGCGGCGTTTGCATCGGTTAGGCCACATGGGAAGAGAAGAACGACTGAGGTTAAAGCCAGCTGTTAACCAACCCGGTAGGAAATGATAAATGATCACCAGCAGCTTCCGGTTTATCTGCTCGTTTTAGATCGGTCCAGCAGCAGAAGATTCTGATTTATCAGTTTAATGGAAATTTTTTATTCAAGCTTTAAAAACGTGTTTCCAAAATGACTCAAATGAAGGCAACTGGACTTTTTTGGTTTCTTGAAGACGTTTTGCTTCTCATCTGAGGAGTTTAGTCCATTCTGACTGCAACATGGGAGAGTCCAGCTTAGAGCAGACTAGAACAGACTACTGGTCCACAGTGGGCAGATCCACTGGTGACCGCAGCACCAACACTTAGAGAAGAAGACTAATAACAGGTACACGCGTACACACAGGCAGCACGCTGGCGTTGTAACCTTCGACCTCTAAAAACCACAAATAACAATGAAAAACTTGGGTTCTAGAACTAGGTAGCATAAGGTACATACTATGTACATCTGGTACTGCACGAGTATTGAACACATACTGAGTACTGCATTGGTGGTATTGTGTACCAGGATGACGCCAGTACCAGTTAAACTGAGGAGGTCTACACTCGTACTGCAGAGGGGATGGAGGACCTACGGTAGCGTTCTGGTTTACATCTGGGATGTCTCCGTCTGCCTCTGAAGGAGCTGTCCATGGTCTCCACAGTGGGATGCAGTGGGTGGGAGGGGCTTTAAGATGGAGGTCATCTTCCCCAGCATCCTCCTTTCACACATCTCCTCAACTGAGTCCAGTTAGCAGCTCAGAACCGAGCTAGCTTTGTGAACTAGCTTGTTCAGTGTCTTCCTGTGTCAGTCAGAGCCGCCTGCCCCCCGACAGACCAGCAGAGTGAATTAGAGGGCTGATATAGTATATCAGCCATTGGCCGAAATTATTTTACAAGCCAATAAAAAATAAATAAAATAGGCACCTGTGTAGCCGTCTGCCGCCACTACTAGAATGAAGAAAGGACCCGAAAGACCCCGACACACTGTTTATTTAATGTTTAGAGTTTGATTTATATTTGAAGTTGAATAAATACTAAGATATTTATTGACTTATTTCATTTAAATTGCACACAGTTTGTTCAGTTGTCTTTCACAATCAATGTGCTGCTAAAACGTATATACCGGCCTTAATAATCGGCTTTAGATATCGGCCATCTGCAACAAATTTCTTTAAAAATCTGCATCGGCGTCAGCCTTAAAAACCCCGTATCGGTCAGCCTCTAGAGTGGATCACAGAGCCAACCACAGAGAGACGACAGGATTTTAGCAGCAGAATTAACTCCGAAGGACCTCAGCCTCCTCAGGAGGTGGCTGTGGCCCTTCTTATACAGCATCTGTGTTGTTGGACCAGTTCAGTTTGCTGTTGAGGGCAACACCCAGGTACTTTAAAAAAAACACTTTAAATGGGGGCGGGGCTTAGATTTCACTTTTCCAGTACCTATAATGCAGCTTTAATTCTCATTCCTAATCAGTTTCAGTCTAATCAACTCGACTCGACTAGGTTCTTGAGGGTTCCGATGGCGCTCGCGCGGGTGCATGCAGCGAGCTGCTCGTCCTCTTTACGCAATGGAACCTTGCGTTTTATTGGCTTTTATGTACTTTTGTTGTCTCTGATGCTTTTTCTGAACGGTGTGGCTTCTCTGGTGACTCATGATCGAGCTGCGCTGATGAGACTTCGTCCTCCTGGTGATGGAGCGGGCGCTGCGCACTGGGAACCTCACGGATGGCGTTGTTGTTTGGACTGCCCGTGTGCTCTCTCCCCCCCGGCCATGATGTGTCGGCCTTCTGTCCGCCCCAGCTACAGAAGGAAGCATCGTAGAAGACAGGGAAAGCGAGGTAGCCGGCGCGTGAGACGTCGGGCTGGACTTCCTGGATCCCTGAATAAGTGGCTGGTCCGATTCGGCCCAGCTTGTGACCCAGTGGTTCCGAGACGTCTGATGGTTTACTCTGCGTCCTGCCTTGTGAACTTGGCCGGCTTTGAGGGTGAGCTGGCACGGTGCCACGGCCAATCGTCTCGAGGACCTCGCCAGAGTGGGGTTTGCTGGGAGAATCTGCGCTCGGTCACGGGCTCTGAGTTGGAGGAGACGGTGCTCCTGTTTTAATATCCCTAGATCGCCGGGCAGAGGTGGAGGGCTGGTTGTTGTTTTTAAATCCAGCTTTCCTTGTAAACAGCTTACAGCCACCATGTCATTTTCTTCCCTCTAACTGTGCTTATTTGAGCTGTGCATCTCCCCCCGCCTGCTCGTTTTGCTGATTTATCGGCCTCCAAAGACTGACTCTAACTTCCTTAATGATTTCTGTGATCCTGTGGCAGACTGCATCCTAAAATATGATTATGTCCTATTTTTTGGTGATTTTAACATCCATATCTGCTGTCCTGATAATGTGCTTGCTAAAGGTTTTTTTAATTTGCTAGATTCATTCAATCTAACTCAATGGGTATCATCCCCAACTCATGCCAGGGGTCACACCCTGGACCTGGTTATCTCTTATGGTCTCCCCATCATGAACCTGGTGACTTTGCCTCCTGTGTTCTCTGACCACTCTCCAATACTCTGTGATGTTGCGCTGCCATGTCCCGTCCCTGTGTGTGAAGCTCCAGCTACTAGGTTCAGAGCCCTGGATGCAGAAACTATTTCAAAGTTTGTGGACTGTATGTCTGTAAGGTTAGAGACCTTTAACCCAGATCCATCTAACGTTGATCACTATTCACAACACTTTGATGTACTTTGTAATCAGGTCCTGGACGTGGTTGCACCTCTCAAGCTTTGCAAGTCTCGGCCTAGGAGGGAGCCTTGGCTCTCTGATGTCACACGGGCTTGCAGGCGGGCGTGTAGATCCTCTGAGAGAAAGTGGAAAAAGGATGGCCTACAGGTCTTGCGTGAGTTGTTCAGAGCATCTCTGGTTGCTTATCAGGATGCTGTGAGGGCTGCCAGAATGGCCTATTTTGCAGACATCATTGAAACAAACTCCAATAATCCTAAGATTCTCTTCAAAACGCTAAACTCAGTTCTGGTGTATCAGGAGCCTAGCTCCATGTCCCCTACAGCTGCTGGAAACTCTGAAGCTTTTCACGGATTCTTTGTTGATAAAGTGTCGGGCATTAGAGCAGTCATTTCTGGTAACTCTATTGACCCTGTTCCAGTTCCTCCATCACCACCCACCCTGAGCTCCCTCAATACAGTTTCATACTCTGAGCTGAGTAAGCTAGTTGCGAGGCAGAAGCCATCTGGCTCTCCACTTGACGTTCTGCCGCCTCGTCTCTGGAAGGCTGCCTTTCCGTGCCTTGGCCCTTCACTTGGTCAGATTATCAATGGGAGCCTCAGCACAGGTGTGGTCCCAGCTGCTTTGAAAGCAGCAGTTATTCGGCCGACCCTGAAGAAACCTGGTGCTGATGTCTCTGTGATAGAAAATTACAGGCCTATCTCTACCCTGCCCTTTACATCTAAACTGCTTGAGAAAGTCGTTTATCAGCAGCTGGTCTCACATTTAGCTGACTCTGATCTGTTTGAGGTTGTCCAATCAGGGTTCAGGTCTGGCCATAGCACAGAGTCGGCTCTACTGAGGGTCCTAAATGACATCTATCTATCACTAGATCACGGAACATCTGTGGTGCTTCTGCTTTTAGACCTGACAGCAGCCTTCGACACAGTCGACCACGCGATTCTACTCGATCGCTTGGAACGATGGGTTGGGATCAAAGGGTCAGCTCTGGACTGGTTTAGATCGTATCTCCACAACAGGACATTCTGTGTTAAACTGGGTGATGTTTTTTCTTCTTGGGAGGGACTCCGCTGGGGGGTCCCGCAGGGATCGATCCTTGGACCTCTTTTGTTTGACATTTATCTGCTACCTCTGGGGTCAATCTTTCGTAAACATGGCCTATCATTCCATCTGTATGCTGACGATTGCCAGATTTACTCTCCATTGTGTCAGGAGAAAGGTCACTCTATTCAGTCCTTTGTGTCCTGTGTTAATGAGGTGAAGTCTTGGCTAATGGCCAACGTTCTACATCTGAATGAGGGAAAGACAGAGCTCATTGTTTTTCACCCCAACAGCAGGGCTGGGGGTCGTTATGTTGATCTTGGGCCTCTTTCTCCATACTCAAAACCAGTTGTGACCAGTTTGGGGGTGAAAATTGACGCTGGACTTTAATTTGATGCTCACACCAACTCTGTGATCCGGTCCAGTTTCTTTCACCTGAGACGCCTTGCTAAAATCATGCCCATGCTGTCGAGAGCCCACCTGGAGCGGGTACTGCATGCCTTTGTAATTTCTAGGCTTGATTACTGCAACTCTCTATATGCAGGGTTGTGTCAGTCATCACTGCGTCGCCTACAGGTTGTGCAGAACAGCACAGCCAGGTTCCTGACTGGGACCAGGAAACGGGACCACATCAGTCCGGTTCTGGCCTCCCTGCACTGGCTTCCGGTTTGCTATCGTTCACACTTCAGACTCCTCGTCTTTGTTTACAATTAATCTGTGAAGCACTTAGAGTTAGCATTTTTTTGTATGAAAAGTGTTATATAAAGTTGATTTGGTTTGATACAATTTCTTCCAGGGTGGTGGTCCCCCCCTATCTAGCCACGCTCCTGAACAGACACTCCCCATCACGCGCTCTGCGCTCCTCTGACCAAGGCCTGCTCGCTGTCCCTTGTTCTAGGTGTCGTACTCGCGCGGACCCGGCTTTCTCAGTCCTAGCACCGTCACTCTGGAACCAGTTTCCACCCTCAGTTAGGCTGTCCCCATCTCTGCCGGCCTTTAAGAGTCGCCTAAAAACCCACCTTCTCCGCTTGGCGTTCCCTGAACGTGTTTGAGTCAGGCCCTCTTGTATGTTGATTTTATTTCCCTGCTTTCATTGGTCTCTTTATCCCTTGTTTTACCCGTTTGTCTTCTACTTTAATGTTTCACCTCTTTTGCATTGTTTGAATTGCTTTTATTTTCGATTTATTCATCATGTTTCACATTTCTCATGTACCGTGTTCAGCACCTTGGGCTTCCCAACAGGTTCGTGGAAGGTGCTTTATAAATAAAGCTTTGATTGATTGACTCATCAGGGTTAGAGAGGAGGGGTATTCAGAGTAGTTTCAGCTCGTTTAATAAGTAACAGCTACAGCTTATAAGCTTGACTCTCCCATGTTCCAGTTAGAGTAGACAGACCTCCTCGGATGAGAAGTGAAATGTCTTCAAGAAACCAAAGAAGTCCAGTTGCCCTGATTTGAACGCTTTTGGATCAGCATGACCTGGATGAAGGAGAACCTTCACCAGCAAGGTTGTTGTTTGTTCCTGTCAATATTAAAGATGATAGTTTACAAAATAAAAGCTTCTGTATTTCCTTTTCCTGGACAGAAGCTCTGGTTTTTTCTGGGTTTGGTCCTGGAGGTCCCCCTCTCCTCAGTAAAATAACAGAAACAATCTTTTATACAGCGCCTCTCAAGATTAAAAAGATTTAAAATAAAAATTTCAAAATATAAAAATGAGACAAAATAAAGTCTAGTTCATAAAGGAAAGGGAGAGAAAATGAACAGGAAAGCGGTAATCAGTGGATCCCAGGAAAGGCGGAATAAGAGCAGGGAGGTGAAGAAGGTCCCTCCAACAGGTGAGTTTAAAGGAGACCACTGAGTCCACTGATCTCAGGCTCAGGGGGAGAGGGGTCCAGAGTCTGGGGGCCACAGCAGCAGATGATCTGTCACCTTTGACCTTTAGCCTGGTGCTGCACAACCAGTAGGCTTTGATCACTGGACCTCAGGGACCTGCTGGGGGTGTAGGGACTAAGAAGATCACCAATGTAAGATGGTGCTTGTCCATGTAAGGCCCTATAGACCAGAACCAGGATCTAGAAATGAACCCTGAAGTTGACTGGCAGCCAGTGAAGCTGGAGGAGAAGCGGGGTGATGTGGGTGTGTTTGGAGGACTTGGTCAGAAGCCGAGCACAGGCGTTCTGAACCACCTGTAGACGGTTCAGGGAGGAGGAGCAGGAGTAACATTCTCTTACCGCTGATGTCTCTGTCCCCTGTAGACGATGAGTGCTGAAGCAGCTGATAGGGTTGCTGCGGTAACCAGCAGCCAGCCCAGCACTCCTCTGCAGATCTCCTGGTTTGAGTTCCTGCTGGACAACAGCCTACTGGAGAAACACCTGCAGAAGACCGGCGCTGGTCTGTGTTCGTCAGTCATTTCATGTAAAGCTAGCATCATCAGTTTGGATGCTGATGTGTCCGTGTCCGTTGGCAGATCCCAGTCCAGTGCAGCTGATCGTCCAGTTCCTGGAGCAGGCGTCCAAACCGTCGGTCAACGAGCAGAATCAGGTGCAGCCGCCAGCCGACAACCGAAGGAACCGCACGCTGAAGCTGCTGGCACTGAAGGTTGCTGCTCACATGGAATGGGATCTGGATTCTCTGGAGAAAGGGTGAGGGGGTCCTGGTTCACCATCTGTTTAATAATCCTTCATTAAAGCAGATTAAAGACCCACTGAGGTCAGGACCTGTCACAACTGGGACCTGGACTGGACAGGAGAGGAGAGGACAGGCAGCAGCACCTGTCACAGAGGCGAGGACAGGACAGTTGGGGACTTCAGGGAAAGCAGCAGGTAGAGCGGGTTGTCCAGGATTCAAAGGGTTGCAGGTTCCATCCCAGCTCCCACCAGAGAATGCTGTCGTTGTGTCCTTGGGCAAGACACTTAACCCATCCTGCCTGCTGGTGGTGGTCAGGGGTACCGGTGGCGCCTGTGTTGGTGCATCCCAGCTGTAGCTACATCATAGCTCATCACCACCAGGGGGTGAATGGGTGAATGGCTGACTGTTGTAAAGCACCATGAAGGCCTATCTAATGCAGGTCATTTACTATTGAGGACAGCTCTGATAGGACAAGGTAAGATGGTTTGGACATGTCCAGAGGAGACAACGAGGACATGGGTAGAAGGAAGCTGAGAGGGAACGGGACACAACGTTAGATGGTGCGAGGATGGGGGACGCAGAAGACAGGAATACATGGAGACGGCCCACAGATTACTGTTTAATCATTGTTAATTCATCAGATTTAAAAGGAAAATGGTAAAGAGAAAAGCACCTGATGTCTCCCTGGGACGTCCTCTTGTCCTGGACATGTCTTCATGTCCTTGTCCTGGACATATGGGACGTCCTCATGTCCTTGTCCTGGACATGTCTTCATGTCCTTGTCCTGGACATGTGGGACGTCCTCATGTCCTTGTCCTGGACATGTCTTCATGTCCTTGTCCTGGACATGTGGGACGTCCTCATGTCCTTGTCCTGGACATGTCCTCATGTCCTTGTCTTGGACATGTGGGACGTCCTCATGTCCTTGTCCTGGACATGTCTTCATGTCCTTGTCCTGGACATGTGGGACGTCCTCATGTCCTTGTCCTGGACATGTCCTTGTCCTGGACATGTCTTCATGTCCTTGTCCTGGACATGTGGGACGTCCTCATGTCCTTGTCCTGGACATGTCCTCATGTCCTTGTCTTGGACATGTGGGACGTCCTCATGTCCTTGTCCTGGACATGTCTTCATGTCCTTGTCCTGGACATGTGGTACGTCCTCATGTCCTTGTCCTGGACATGTCTTTATGTCCTTGTCTTGGACATGTGGGACATCCTCATGTCCTTGTCCTGGACATGTCTTCATGTCCTTGTCTTGGACATGTGGGACATCCTCATGTCCTTGTCCTGGACATGTCTTCATGTCCTTGTCTTGGACATGTGGGACATCCTCATGTCCTTGTCCTGGACATGTCCTCATGTCCTTGTCCTGGACATGTCCTCATGTCCTTGTCCTGGACATGTCCTCATGTCCTTGTCCTGGACATGTCCTCATGTCCTTGTCCTGGACATGTCTTCATGTCCTTGTCTTGGACATGTGGGACATCCTCATGTCCTTGTCCTGGACATGTCCTCATGTCCTTGTCCTGGACATGTCCTCATGTCCTTGTCCTGGACATGTCTTCATGTCCTTGTCTTGGACATGTGGGACGTCCTCATGTCCTTGTCCTGGACATGTCTTCATGTCCTTGTCCTGGACATGTGGGACGTCCTCATGTCCTTGTCCTGGACATGTCTTATTGTCCTTGTCCTGGACATGTGGGACGTCCTCATGTCCTTGTCCTGGACATGTCTTCATGTCCTTGTCCTGGACATGTGGGACGTCCTCATGTCCTTGTCCTGGACAGCTTCTCTGGCTATTGAGGACCTTTTAAAGCTCTGAGAGGTTTTTGCAGTAATATGTTCTGCTGAGATGATCCAACCCAGCTCCAGGTTCAGGACCAAGTTCTGAGAAGGTCAGGTTGACCCGGTTGGTAACCGACACCGGTGCCGGCTCGGCAGTGGCTCGTATCTGAACCAGGCTTCCTCCTCTCCAGCTTGACCATCCCGGTGTTGAACATGCTGCTGAACGAGCTGCTGTGTGTGAGCAAAGTACCGGCCGGCATGAAGCACGTGGACCTGGACCTCGCCACCTTACCCCCCACCACGGCCATGGCCGTCATCATTTACAACCGCTGGTGAGCAGAACCCAACCCAAGCACACACTAGAACAGAACCGTCGGTGTTGCCGGTGCCTTGAGCAAGGCAGCTTTATCTGATCGCCACATTTCAAACGGAACAGATTCTATGTGCTTTCCAGGAGAAAGAACATTAAACATTATGGGCACAGCAGTAGCTCAGGAGATAGAGCGGGTTGCAGGTTCGATTCCGGCTCCAACCAGAGAATGCTGCTGTTCTGTCCTTGGGCAAGACTCTTACCCCTCCCTTCCTGCTGGTGGTGGTCGGAGGGACCGGTGTCGCCAGTGCTTAGCAGCCTGAGCTCTGTCAGCGCGCCCCAGGGCAGCTGTGGCTACATCGTAGCTCATCACCACCAGGGGGTGAATGGGTGATTGTGTTGTGAAGCGCCTCGGGGGGGTTGTAGAACCTAGAAGGTGCTATACAGAGACAGGCCCGTTACCATAAACATCAGTGCTAAAGTTCTTCAGGTTCTGGTTTAGATTCATATCTTTTTGTATGGAACAGTTGGACTGGTTCTAACTGGTTGAAGCCGGTTTCTTCTTGATGCTGAAACAGGAGCTCTGAGTCAGAGGACCCGTTTGAGCAGAACCTTTTGTTTGCTGTTGCAGGGCCATCAGAACCATCGTGCTCAGCAGCTTCCCAGAGAAGCTGACCAAGCCTGGACCTCACCAGATGAACATGTAAACCCTAACCCTCTCCCTCCTTTGGGTTAACCGGTTTTAACCAGTTAACCCAAACCAGGTCAAGGCAGCTGCAGCGAGACAGAAAAATACTCACACAGTTAAACTCATGTACAAGCAACATAACACGTAGTACACCGTTCAGTGTGTGTGTGCGTGCGTGTGTGTGTGTGTGCGTGCGTGTGTGTGCGTGCGTGTGTGTGCGTGTGTGTGTGTGCGTGCATGTGTGTGTGCGTGTGTGTGTGTGTGTGCGTGCGTGTGTGTGCGTGTGTGTGTGTGCGTGCATGTGTGTGTGCGTGTGTGTGTGTGTGCGTGCGTGTGTGTGTGCGTGTGCGTGCATGTGTTTGTGTGCGTGTGTGCGTGCGTGCGTGTGTGTGCGTGTGTATGAGTGTGCATGTGTGTGCGTGTGTGTGCGTGTGTATGAGTGTGCATGTGTGTGTGTGCGTGTGTATGAGTGTGCATGTGTGTGTGTGCGTGTGTATGAGTGTGCATGTGTGTGTGTGCGTGTGTATGAGTGTGCATGTGTGTGTGTGTGTGAGTCTGAGGCCCTGCTAGCTGAGAAAAGAGCTCTCACCTCAGCATGCATGCAGCACGGTGCACGGTGTCGTGCTATCAAAGACTTTAGCCGACGCCTTCAGATAGAAAAGGTGTGCCTGATCCAGCACAGGTAAAGGTGTTGCAGCAGCAAGTCGTGTTTCTGCATTAAAAGAAAAATGTGACTTATTTTAAAAATAAAAATGCAATTTTGACTTAAGCTTTTTCACAAGATGCTCTACACGAGGTTTAAAGTGACAATGTGTAGTTTTCCCCTAATCCTTGCAGATATTCATTGTAATGTAGCTGAAAATGAGTAAAATGATGTCCGCCGTAGAAAATAATAGTGCTTTGTTACCATAACCATAAAAATCAGGTCTAAAATACATAGGGTGCTATGGGGCGCCATATTAGACGCCATGTTTTACGTGAGCTGGTTCAGGGTCCTTCCGATGACATCACACCGCGCTTGTAAAAGTTACGTTAACTCAGAATACTTTGATTGGTCCAGAGAAAATAGCAGTTGTGGTCCCGTAGTAAAAAAAAAAGGGAAATGTGTTTGTACAGCCAAAGGAAACGTAAAATAAAATCAACAAAATCAGTTGATAAATGGAGACCATGGGCAGCTTCGATTTCGATGAAATGGAGCAAAATTTAAAATAACTTTATTGAACAAATTACAAGTTTACAACATGTTGAATGAATAGTTTCTATTTACATAAGAATGAAGGAAATATAGAGAATTCCCCATGTATACAAAGAGAAAGGGCTACATACATTAGAACATTTTAACAAGTAGGAGCTGTTGTGCCATCTGGGACATCTGATGCTGGTTTTATGTAGTTTCACCTTCTTTAAAAACCAAGGCAATATGGTGTTTTATTAACTTATAAAGAAAACTGTTTAGCTGGTAAGAAACATGAATTTAATAACAAAACAGCTTAACTCCTCCCAAAAGAACAGAATAAAAAAAGAGATGCAACATATTTTAGCCGAGTGGTGTTGCCGTAGTGTGAGGTCATAGGCAGGCGCAGAACCCGAGCAGATCCGGTACCTACACCTCCAGACAAATACTATCAGCGTTGCGTCCTCTCAGTGGAATTAACTGAAGGACTGTCAAAGGCCAGGTTGCACGCCTCCTGCTTGAGAGGTAACATTTACTGTGTTTTAAAACCAGTAACATTCATGGCGATATGGTGGGAAACTACCCTGTACTGCTCCCTAGTACCAGGAAACTACACACTGTAACTTTAAAGTTGAGTGAGTCGTCAATCAAGACATTCAGAAATCTGTACGTGTGAACCAACGCCATTTCTTCACTCTAGAGAGTTGTTACTGAAGGTATCACTTGGGCCCGCCTCCTTGAATTGGAAAACTCGAGCTGAGTTTTAGAGAGAGTTGAAGCTTCAGGAGTGAATGTTGGACAGCAACAAAGGATTTCTGCATGGAATCAATGGCTTGTGCAAGACTAACCACAGCTATAACTACCTGCGTCATCAGCATAAAAGTGCAGATTTGAATCCGTAACGTTTAGACCTAGACTGTTAATGTAAATGATGAATTAAAGAAGTCCTAACTCAGGGCCCTGTGGTACCCCCTTGTGGACTGTAGCAAATTCAGAACAAAGTCCTATCTGATTTAATACACCTGGTACTGAACCGTCCTACTGGAGGAGTCTTAAGTTTAATGGTGAACAGTTTCAAATGCTTTAGAAAAAACGATAAAAAGGATGCTACCATTTACTACTTTCACTGACCAACGACTAGTTAACCACAATCCTTCATGGTGCAGCAGTATTATCTTATTACTACTAGCTGGTTTGTTTGGTTCTGCTGCAGGTTAAACTTGGTCCAGCAGGAGAAGGAGATGACTGAGAACATCCTGGCTGTGGTGAGTCCAGGTGTGTGTGTGTGTGCGCGCGTGTGTGTGTGCGTGGGGGGGGCTAATTGTGGTGTGTGTGGGGGTGATGGTGGTGTGGCGGTAGTGGGGGTGATGGTGTGTGTGTGGGGGTGATGGTGGCATAACATTTGTTACATGTCAATAGAATATAAAGGTATTTAGTCAAATGTAACATTCCATAAAAATATGGATTATCAATATTAATATTCGACTGATGATGAAACCAGGTACTTTGGGTTCGCCAGGGAAACAACTCTATAATAATTTGACACAGAGACAAAAAATATAGTTCATAAAAATGTATTTATTACTATATTTCCACTACTAGGATGATGCAGAACAAACGAGTAGACGTGAGTAAGGATGGAACTTGGGCTACTGTGGTGTCTGGGTTGTAAAATAAGTCTTGCTGAATATTTGCTGAGGTTTAATAAATGATCAAATTACTAAAACCATCGGACGCCCGCTGTGTTGTACAATACTCGTGTGATGAGGCTTCTCAGCAATCCTGCTGGCCACCAAGTCTTGTCAGCATGCAAGTAGATGGACTCCTAGATGTCAAAGGCCGTATTCCTCTGAATCTGCATCAGCTGGTCAGAGATGACCTCCAGGTCTGCAGGCGAGACGTTTCACATCTGATGAGTTGTTTCTCTGACCTTGAAAGGATGGTTCATAAGCCAATGACCCCGTTTGGCCGAACTGGTACAGTGTGCTGGAACTAACCTTTAGAGGAAGGAAGTGTTCCTTCTTTTACTAACTGTGTATAGATTTAGACAAATCAGAATCTACCAAGTCTAAAATGGGTGTTTACCAAGAGTCCTCAGATACTTTGAGCTAACCTATTTTATTTAATATGATCTAAATATGGAAAAGCCATTCATCAATATAGTAGTGGTCGACTGATTTATTGGTTGGCCGATTAATTAGGCCGATATTTAGCATTTTTCATCATCGTTCAATAAGCCTCTTTAGTACAGCCGATTTAAAGTCAGGCACCTCCGCGGGCAGCCCACTTCTGCTGGAAGCTGGTGAAGGACTCCAATCCAAAACACTGGGAGTATTTACCTCTGAGTAAAAGGTAAGGCTTCTCTTTGGTGTTTCAAACCCTACAGATGTGTGTTTAGTGTGAATTAAAGTAAAACATGAAATAAAACGTAGCTGAGTGAAAGAAAAGACGAGCCGTAAGAACCGCCGGTGTCGGTACAAGATCGGCTCGGGGTCCTTTCGACTGCCGATGACGTCAAAGTACGGCGCACTCGGACAAAATACACTACACATCTATACTGTTGGAAAGAATTTAGCAGTTTCGTTATTAAAATAATGTTTCTTAAGACGTAAGTTTGTGTTTATAATGGTATTTGTAAAATAAAACACTATCTTGTATTCATAATGTTGAACTCCTCTTTGAGCACATCCCTTGAAGGATCATAGGTATTAGCAACACCTGTGAAATTGTATTTGCAGGAAAGAAGTGTGTCCCGTTTATTGAAGTATTTTGTGTTTAGAGTTTTTGACGTCTTGTCCATGCGTAGTTCAGGTACGCTCATAGCTGCTAGCCAAAACTCTGGAGTTAAAAGTTTTCTGGCTGTACTAAAATACCTGTCTGTACTTATTTGATTGATGGTAGTTTTACTTTCTATTAGACTCCAAATGTAATCATTTGGCACGTTTCTAATTCATAATTTGTAATAATGTAATCGGTGATATTAGCATTAGCATTCCTATGGGTTTTTCCACGTATATTAGCATTGCGCTAACCACTCGCTGCCGAATTGCAGCCTTTGCGATTAGAAAATCTCTTTTGTCACATCGCAATTTAATTGCACACGCAGTTAATCGTTCAGCCCTAATATACATGCAGCTCTACGCTAAAAGTGTATTTTCAAAGAGGTAATGATGGATTTCTTTGTAAAAGTTGTCCATCTTTCCTACAAAAAGATTTGCCTGGACCAACGTAACGTGATAACAACGTAACATGATTACATAATTCCGTAAGGTTCATGTTCAGCCAATAAACTACTTTGACGTCATCGGCAGTCGACGGACCCCGAGCCGATCTTGCACCTGAGCAGATCTTGTACCGACACCGGCAGCATGCTAATGCTAGGCTAGCTTGTTGTTAGCTTTAGAGACCGTCTTAAATTCTCAGATGCTGTTAGCTTAACATGTTAGCTCCAGTTTTATACATGACATTATTTACCTGTGTGTTAGAGAGGAGAGTCCTGTAGCGTCTGCACCCCCTCCTGGTGGGAGGAGCTTAAGAATGTCACGCTTCTCCAGTTCTTACATGCATGACACGGTGAACAGGAACACAGGAAAAGATCTGCAGCTCTAGGTTTTCTGTTTAGCGTGTTATCAGTGGTCAGAAACAGCAGAGACGCGTTCTGGCTAAAGACTAGTTTTAATTTGTACGTAAAATCCAACATTAGCCTTCAGTGGCACTAGTGACTAGTTAGGTAGTATAACATGTTGTAATGAAAGTTCCAGTGGGAGCACGGGCAGAATATCTTGCCCTCCAACCAGAACCTGAAAACGGCACCAGTAGGCAACAACTTATCAGAAGAGCCTTTATTTACACCAGCAAAAATAAAACGATCACAGTCAATAATAAAACACTAGTCCTTCACACTAAAAGCCAGCTAAATAAAAACAAGCAGCGGTACTTGGCTGTCCCAGTTGATGCGACCCCCTCCCCGGGGTCTGAGCTTCCGACACCGTCCAACGCCCTGGGGTGCAGCTTGCGAGGACGGCGGGTAAATCCACAACTTGAGTCCGACTGCCAGAGTCTGCGGCGGCAGATGTTGGCGTGGTCTCGGCACCCAACTACTCCCAGCCCTCGCTACCTAAAGAAAGTGTCAAGCCTTTCCTCCTATCGCTGGAACACTGCCCACCTGCTCAACAATCTTCGTCGCCGGCAGTCCTAAACGACTGCGATCGACCCCACCCCCCAGAATCTGGTGCCACAATGACCGGTCGACCACACACTCCACCTTGGTAGATCTGCCACCCTTTTGTTCTCTCTGGCCTCATTACCCGTAACACGGACCAGCCGGCGTCCAATCACCACGCCCTCAGAATCCGGCAACTCCCGTCTTCTGTCTTTCACAATGTATTATATAGTTAATAGATGAGTGTGTCTACTATTTCTCATACAGACGGTAGGTAATGTGCTGAGTTCTCCTCTGCTCTTCCTGCTGCAGACTCAACTGAAGATGGGTGCTCTACACAACCACTAACAGCTGTTTCTCCTGGTTAGTTTCTGTCTGATGGCTCAACTAAAGTCACGTCCAGCATGGCCGCACGTCATGGAGGCCAACCAAGGAAAGGAGGTGTGATTTCAGCAGGAGGCTGGTGAGCTGGGAGCTGAGGAAGGTAAAAACACACCTGAAGGTTCCCCGTCTCCAGGCTGAGTCTAGAGCACTAAGGTTCGTTAATGCTGAAGCTGTTTTTGTGATGTTAGAATCTTATGAAAGATGTTATAAAGAGACTGGATGAGCTGTAGATGTTGCTGTTGGGTTTTATACATTATTACATCACTGTAGGATCTGTCTTTCTGTTCTAAAGGTGCATTTATTTATACTTTATTATTTATACTTGCATGTAAATGTGTACAAACCTATAAAACATCTGCCTAATAAACGCTCTGAAACACTGCCTGTTTTGTATATTTAATACTTGGTCAGGGTCAGGGTTGGTATTTTTGTTAATCTGGTGTGATTTTAACACTGAGCAACGTCTACATTAAGATTCAACAGTTGGCTAAATCCAGATTAGGTTCAGAAGTCTTGTGCATCCGCAGCTGTTATGAGTGATCTGATAAGGTGCCAAACATCCAGATATCGGCCCTAAAACCGGCAGCACTTACGGCCGACCACGACCGCCTCGTATCGGTATCGGCAATAGAAGAACCAATATCGGTCGACCGTAACAGTAATATTATTGTGATAATAAATCATTCTTCAATTCAACAAGTAGGCTGATTCGTGTATTTAAAATCTGAAATGAAGCCTTATTTCCAGAATCAATAATGATGGCGACTCACTGATTTCTGTGGAGCAGTCGAGATTATGACAAGACTTCAGATGAAACGGTCGTTGTTTAATGTAGGTGTTGTTAACCTGTGAGGAAACCTTTGTGTGAGCCAGAATCAGATATTTTTATTAAAAGGGAGTTGGATAAAAGTCTCGTCTCCTGTAAGAGGCCCGATAAGTCCGGAGATTTCACCATGGCCTCCTCCTGGTGTCAGGCCAACACAACCCGTGTCCTGGGCAGAAGGGCACACGGATGAAGCTCACTGCAGCAAGTCCAAGGTCTTCATCATGTTACAGTGTGTGTTTGTGCTCTCAGCTGAAGGAGCAGGCAAATGACTCCATCAGCGTCCTGCAGAGGGCGCTGCAGCTGAAGAAGGACTTCTACGTCCACACTCTAAGGACTCTGGACCTGCTTGGTGCCGATGCTGCTGCTAATGGAGAAACGGAGTCATCCACGGCTGGGCTTCGGATCAGCGCTGACCAGCTGCACTGTCAGGTGGGCGGAGCTTGGTGGGTGTGTTTGATTGGTGCTGTGATGAGTGTGATTCTGACAGGTGAGCTGTGTTGCAGGTGTGTTACGACCTGGGAGGTGTTTTCTTCCAGCAGGGCTGCATGGACCAGACGGCCTATAAGAAGGCCCAGGACCATTTCAGACACACCAAGGAGCTTCTGAAGAAGGTCTAAAAGCTCACTGGTGTCTTTTTGTCTCACCCAAACCCAAAAGCAGACCGTCTGTCCTTTGTGTCTCAGCTGGACCAGACTGTCCACGTTCACCTGGACGAGAAGCGTCTAAACGGCTACTGGAACGCCTGCAAGGCTCTGGCGGGAGACTGTGACCCCTCTGACACCCAGATGACCCAATGTGACCAGATCAACAACCTGATCCGGGCCTGCGACTACCAGGTCAGAACACGCACCTTACCCCAGACCGTAGAACTGACCCAAATGCTCGGGACACCAACCACCTGCTGCTTGTGACCCTTCAGGCCGTTGTCGAAGCCTTCATCAAAGACAACTCGTCTCAAAGTTTGCAGAACCACTTCAGACGGTCCATCCTCAGGGAGCTCCAGTACAAAGTCCAACAAGGGTGAGACGTTAGTCTGCCGTTCCGTCTGGGTCCAGGGTTCTGCCCTACTGGGCCACAACTTTAAGAGCTAATGGGCTGTGCTTCCCTCCGGTACTGAGTAGAATGGGATAAGTTCTGACCTTGAGTGTTCTCAGCAGCTTGGATCTGGTTCAAAACCATCAGTGGGACTCGGCTCGGGGATCGGGTCTGAACCAGCTTTCTGTTCTGTGCAGGGACTCGGGTCTGGATGAGGTCTGTCACAAGGTTTGTGTTTGTAACGCGGTCCGAGACGCTCTGGAGGGAGAAGTCCCCAGCGTGGGCTTCCAGCAGCTGCTGCTCAGACCCAGCAGAAGAACGCTGGACTTCATGTTGGAGGTAGGACCAAAGTCCTGGTCCAGCAGCACTCGTTCCATTAAGGTGGTTCTCCAGGAGCTCTGCTCAGCCTGAAGCCGCTCTGGACAGCGCGGTTTGAATCGGCCCATCTGAGTGTAGTTTGCAGTGTTAATTGTGACAGGAATTTTTCATTTTACTTAGTCCCATTTTAGTCGATGAAAATAAGCAGTTTTAGTCAACAAATACATATATTTTTTCTAATGAAGTAATTTCCTACTTTTGTATAGAGCACGGAAACACTAGTAGTGTAATTTAATACGCAGGGTCCAAACTCTTCACCACCACTGATCAGATATAGCACACACAGCTAAGAACTTACTGTAGAATATTTGAATAAAAAAAACACTTCTCATGTTTAACACTTACATGTTTAATAAAACACAAAAAGCACACTGGGAATTACAAAGGTGCTCTTTGTAGCAACTGCACAACAAGCATTTTTCAAACTAGCATGCAGAAATACTCAAAAATAAAAATTCCTCCTTTGAGGGCATTTTTCCAGAAACTTTTCTCAATAAAATGGTTAACACCCCAAAATAAGTACAGTACAGGACCTGTAAGCCGTCAGTTACGGGCGTCTTTTTGGTCTTTAACACAAACAAAAGGTGCACCGGGTTATAAAACGTACCGGTAAAACATCTGTGCGGGCTCGGGACTCGGATCATATCCGTGCAAACCAGACCCTGAAAATTATAAACCGGCAAAAGCACGCTTCACTTTACTGGTCTAGTCCTGGTTTAGAGCGCACGTGCACTTCCTCATTGCGCTAAAACGAACAACGTGTGTGCATGATTGCGCATGCGCCGTGAGCGGTTCTGGTACTTTATGGGTCGTAGCCGCTCGCTGCACCGCTTCAACTGTGCAATCGTGAGGTCGCACGGACTTCTGGTGTGTTTAATATTTTGCTCGTCCCTCGTGAGGGTATCGCACTGTTGAAGCGGCGCTGCGAGCCGCTGCGACCCAAAAAGTACCAGAACCGCTCACGGCGCATGCGCAATCCTGCATCAACGCCGCTCGCCCGCTATTTCCCTAATAACACACGCTGTTCGTTTTTGTTTCTACACGTTTTTTTACTCACAAAGATTGTAAGGAAAGCGTGTTTGTCATGTTCATGTCAAATTAAACTGATCACTAAACACAGATTTACTTTCTTTATTTGGTTTTCCTCATCCAACCCCCATAAATCCCTGTGTGTCCTCCTGCAGCGCTCCCGAAGGACAACAGGCAAAACAAGACACAACAGTCTGGCGTGTTGAGTAAAAACTGCTATTTTTGGCATATTTTAGGGCCGACGTGTTGCTACCAGACGTGCAGTGTGAGCAGTCAGGTCACATCCGAGAGCTCCGTACATCTCCGAGCAAGCATGGAGAAGTTGATTATTATTATGGTAGGCCTAGCGTCACCTCTAAACAAAGCGGACTCTGATTGGTTCTCTCCTCACCTAGTCAATTTGTTGATTGCATCATGCATCTTTCCTGTCTTCTGATTAGATATTCGTCATCGTGGATTTTCGTCTCTCTTGCATTCGTTGACTAAATGTTTCAATCAATTTAATTACCGTCTTCGTCTTTTTCCAAGCTTTTATTTTGAAATTTTGTTTCATTTTCATCTGTAAATATATTTTCGTGACGAAAAAAAGACGAAAATATTTTGTCAACAAAATGAACGCTGTAGTTTGGTTCCCACGCCAGCTCCATGACAGAAAGTAGGTGACTCCGCCCCTTAGCCAATCAGCAGCCAGAATCACGATGCCGGCCGACTCAGCCTTGCCAGGTACCTCAACAGAGCAGGGACTAAAACTAGGGGAGAACGTAGAGGGAACATACGGAACCGTGCCCTTGGGAACGTGGTTCTGGTTCCTTGTCGCTTAGTGAAATGGAGCTGGGTCAGGTCTAGCTCAGAACCAAAGACCTGCTCTGGGGTCTTGGAGTGTTCTCAGGTCAAGTTTGTTCTCCTCAGGTTTGCACACGCTCTCTGGAGCAGAGGCCACCGTCTGAGAGGTCCAGAAGCAACATGGCTGACTTCTTAAGGTGAGTGACAGCAGATCGTGGTCCACGTGAGAGGAGCTGCTCTCTGACCCGGTATGACCTCTGGTGTTGGTGCAGGACTCTGTGTGAGAGCCTGGAGGACCTGTCTCAGGTGTTTGTGGTGACGTCTCATAAACTGTTCCTGGAGCTGCTGAAGGAGGAAGAGAGGAAGATGCTGCTGGAGCAGATGAAGAAGAGGTCGGCCACAATCAACCTCAGTGCCAAACCCTTACCGTCCTTCTACGACATCCCAGGTACGGACCCTCGTGTCCAGCTGGTCGTCCAGAACCTTTCTGCTCTGGGTGTTCAGTGTGGGTCTTGCTCCTCCACAGCTTCGGCCAGCGTGAACATCGGACAGCTGGAGCAGCAGCTCATCCTCTCTCTGGATCCTCGCAGGGTCAGACAGATTCTCATCGAGCTTCACGGAATGGCAGAGCGATCCTTCTGGAGAGTCAACAGCAAGGTCCGGCTCCACACACTCCCAAAGCTGTCAAATTGATGCTCTGATGTGTGTAACCCGGTTCTGTTGGTCCAAATAGTGGGAGGTTCCTGCAGAATACATCGTTGTCATCCTTGGGATCAAAGACAACCTGACCAAAGACCTGGTTTACATCCTCATGGCCAAAGGGCTCCTCAGCATCTCTGTGAAGGTCTGCTGCTCTAACAGGAAGCTGATGGGCAGAGCAGCAGAACCTTCATGTCCTCTTTCTCTTCATCTCAGGACTTCGCCCATGCTCGCCTGCTCTTCTCTGCCTGCCTGGAACTCGTCACAGAGTTCTCCCCTAAGCTGCGGCAGGTGATGCTCAACGAGATGCTGCTGCTCGAGGTCCGAGCCCATGAGGCCATGGCAGCCGAGGGCAGCAAGGAGCGGCCGCCGCCAGACCTGGTCAGCAGGGTCAGAGGTTACCTGGAGATGAGGGTTCATGGTGAGCAAACAGCCGACTCGACTCACATTTCAGTTCAGTTTCTCTTTTCCTCCAAAGTGTGAATGAAGTGGTTCTGCTGTCTCCAGATGTTCCTCTACGCCAGGTGATAGGTGAGGAGTGTGTCGCCTTCATGCTGAACTGGAGAGAGAACGACTACTTGACCCTGCAGGTGCCGCCGTCTCTGGTCATGAACAACCCGTTCATCAAGGTACCGCCTGCAGAACCCAACGTTCTGGTCCGGTTTTGGATCGAGCTAGATTAGCTGCACCCTCCTGGTTCTGGTTTGTTTATCAGAAACACATGAAATCCCTCACCTTTGTTTTGAATCCAAAACGGGTCACCTACGTGATCGATGAGAACGTGCTTGGGGAAAGGCTCAAATGGAGGCTATGTTGACTCTGGCAATCCGGTTTTTGGCTTAAAGTCCGTCGGGTCGGTCTTTGGGTCGTGTTGGGCTCTGCTGCGGGTGGCGGTGGGGGGGGCAGTAGTCGTGTGTGAGCCTGTAGAAGTTCTTGCTGAACTTGATTCTGTTTCATGAACCAGGGTGACAGAAAACTGGGAGGAAACTTTAGTCTACCGCTGGAGGTTTTCTCCTCCGAGACACCATGGATATAAGCAGGAAATGTCCCCAAAGGAAGGCTAGTTAGCTGGTTAGTGAAGGGGAGGATGGCTGCTTACACTGAGCCAGGATTCTCTGGAGGTTTCTTCCTGTTAAAAGGGAGTTTTCCTCTCCACTGGCGCTAAATGTTTGCTGGGTTCCTTATATAGGAAACATTATTTCTGATTGGCTTAATGAACTGACCTGAATTGGAATGTTTATTATGTGAAGTGCCTTGAGACGACTCTTGTCGTGATTTGGCGCTTTATAAATAAACTTGAATTGAATTGAATAGCTGTCACTAAACCCTAATCCAGTGCACCGCCCCTGCTTATTATTATTACTCTCACTGGCTATTGGACTCCTCCAAGGCGGCCCTTTGTCACCGATTCGGTTCATAAGTTTTACAGACAGGATCTCCAGGAGCAGCCAAGGTGTGGAGGGCATCCGTTTTGGTGGCCTGAGGATCAGGTCTCTGCTTTTTGCAGATGATGTGGTCCTGTTGGCTTCATCAGAACCTGACCTTCAGCTTTCGCTGGAGCGGTTCGCAGCCGAGTGTGAAGCAGCTGGGATGAGAATCAGCTCCTCTAAATCTGGGACCATGGTCTTGGGTCGGAAACGGTCGATCTACGTTCCTACCCTCACCTGTGGTCACGGGTAGTGACCAAAAGAACGAGATTGCGGATACAAGCGGCCGAAATTTGATTTTTCTCCGCAGGGTGTCTGGGCTCTCCCTTAGAGATAGGGTAAGAAGCTCGGTCATCCGGGAGGGGCTCGGAGTAGACCCGCTGCTCCTCCACGTCGAGAGGAGCCAGTTGAGGTGTCTCAGGCTTCTGGTCAGGATGCCTCCTGGACGCCTCCCTGGTGAGGTTTTCTGGCCACGTCCAACCAGGAGGAGACCGAAAGGAAGTCCCAGGACACGCTGGAGGGTCTACTTTTCTCAGCTGGCCAGGGAACGCCTTGGGATTCCCCCGGAGGAGCTGGCCCAAGTGGCTGGGAGAGGGAAGTCTGGAGGCTGCTGCCCCCGCGACCCAACTCCGGATAAGTGGCTGAAAATTGATGGATGGATGAACAAGACCCCGAGATACTTAAACTCCTCCACTTGGGGCAGGACCTCATCCCTGACCCGGAGAAGGCATTCTACCTTTTTCCGAATCTAGACCATGGTCTCAGATTTAGAGGAGCTGATTCTCATCCCAGCTGCTTCACACTCGGCTGTGAATGTTCTGATGAAGCCAGGGTTTAATTTGAGCCGGATCTTGCTGGAACAAGGTCCGGGAACTGTCTTATTTTGAAAGGACCGTTCCGGCAACTGTCTGCTAGGTTCCGGCAACTCACGACCAGCTAAAGGGAGCACCCCAAAGGGTGACAGGCTCCCCTGGAAGCCCTTAACTCACACAGCCAGGGGGAGCCTGAGAGAGGTCCTGGTTCTACTGATATTACATCATCTATGTGGACTCTCCGGTGATTATTTAGAGCTGAGAGGCGCAGAGCTCTGATTGTTGACGCGCTCCAGACAGCTGCGTCCTGAGCACGGCCACATTGATGTTCCCAACGTGTCACCTCCTCCAAAAACATTTATAACACGCGATGGTTTATGTCGGCTCGTATTCTCTTATGCTTTCTGTCTCTCATATGTGCCTGATGCGTTTCGCTGCTGCCTGTTTTGTCCTCCGGTGACTTCAACAGACCGGTGAGGCCAGCGCACATCGCGCACTCTGCTAATTTTGCGGTCGGTAGACCTTTTGGAGTGCCGGTACCACTCATCTCCACTACAAATAGGAAAAAGAGGCTACAGTTTGCACCAGCTCACCAAAACTGGACAGTTGAAGACTGGAAAAGTGTTGTCTGGTCTGAGGAGTCTCCATTTCTGTTGAGACATTTAGATGGTAGAGTCAGAGTCTGGCGTAGACAGAATGAGAACATGGATCCATCATGCCTTGTTACCACTGTGCAGGCTGGTGGTGGTGGTGTCATGGTGTGGGGGGTGGTTTCTTGGCACATTTTAGGCCCCTTAGTGCCAACTGGGCATGGTTTAAATGCCACGGGCTACCTGAGCATTGTTTCTGACCGTGTCCATCCCTTCATGACCACCATGTACCCATCCTCTGATGGCTACTTCCAGCAGGATAATGCGTGATGTCATAAATCTCCGATCATTTCTAACTGGTTTCTTGAGCATGACGATGAGGTCACTGTACTACAACGGCCCCCACAGTCACCAGATCTCACCCCGATAGAGCATCTTTGGGATGTGGTGGAACGGGAGCTTCGTGCCCTGGATGTGCGTCCCACACATCTCCATCAGCTGCAACATGCTGTCCTGTCAACGATCCTTTTTATGTCCCATTTTGAATGCTTAGGGTTTCTCCTGTGTGTGTTTTATAGCAGTTAGCATGGTTCTTCATATATGACTCCACACTTTAGGGTGCACTAGTCTTTTGTTTTGTTGGTGTGTTTTCACTGTTATTTTTCCCGCTATGCTTTTGATGTATGGGAGGGTTTTTGTTGGCACTGGTTTCTGTTTATCCGTTTTTTTAGTTTTGTTTTTGTTTATCGTAAATCCTCTAACATTAGCCTGTATTTAATTAACTGCCAGGTATCATATTTTGGCCGGTGTCGGAGTCGGCGGAGGTGAATAACGGCCAGTTTTTTATTGTGGCTGGGTGGAATGTGGTAACAAGCAAGTACGGGGGGGGGTGTTGTGTCATCATCTCACTTTAGATTTGCCAGTGATAGACCTCGAGGGTAACTTTAACCGTGCGGAGATGAAGAGGAGGCGAAAATTTGATATCGAGTTCAAAGAGAACGTGCTGATTATGCTGCAGAACACTCTGGGGAGCAGTAGCAGGGGTTGTATGAACTAGTCGCTGTCACGTGATAATGACCGGCAAGATGCAGCCCTCGGAAAAGACAGCAGCCTGCTGTCAGCAGGTGACAAGCTCCTGCACTCGGGGGGGCAACGCTCTGTGCCAGAGCGTCGGTACTGACACGCGATCGTTCATGTCGGTTCATTTCCTTTTATGTTTTCTGTCTTTTATTTGTGCCTGATGCGTTTCGCTGCTGTGGAGCGGGGCGCATCACCTGTTTTGTCCTCGGTGACGCACCTCACAGATGCGGCCGGCGAGCACTCCGCTGTTTTAGCGGTCGGTAGATCTTTTAGAACTGCAGTTCAAAGGTAACTCATGAGGTGAATATATATGAACCCAGGTAGCAGTTTCTCTTTAGGATTGAGAGGAGATGCAGGAAGATAATAAACAGGCAGGACAGAAAAATAGTCAAATAAAAACAAGTTAGTTTTTCTACCTGCTGGTTGCAACAAACAGACACCACTGAAGGTAATCAGAAGTGAGGAACAGAAAATGAAATAATTATTTTAATGTTTAGAGCAGCAGGAACTCCGAGAGGCTGCAGGCGCATCAGTGAGTTTGCTTCCACTGCGCAGGGGGAGGGGGGAGAGGGCTGAAGCAGGGGGAGGGGGGAGAGGGCTGAAGCAGGGGGAGGGGGGAGGGCTGAAGCAGGGGGAGGGGAGAGAGGGCTGAAGCAGGGGGAGGGGGGAGGGCTGAAGCAGGGGAGGGGAGAGAGGGCTGAAGCAGGGGGAGGGGGAGAGAGGGCTGAAGCAGGGGGAGGGGGGAGGGCTGAAGCAGGGGGAGGGGAGAGAGGGCTGAAGCAGGGGGAGGGGGAGAGGGCTGAAGCAGGGGGAGGTGGGAGGGGGCTGAAGCAGGGGGAGGGGGGAGGGCTGAAGCAGGGGGAGGGGAGAGAGGGCTGAAGCAGGGGGAGGGGGAGAGGGCTGAAGCAGGGGGAGGTGGGAGGGGGCTGAAGCAGGGGGAGGGGGGAGAGGGCTGAAGCAGGGGGAGGGGGAAGAGGGCTGAAGCAGGGGAGGGGGAGAGGGCTGAAGCAGGGGGAGGGGGGAGAGGGCTGAAGCAGGGGGAGGGGGGAGGGGGCTGAAGCAGGGGGAGGGGGGAGAGGGCTGAAGCAGGAACTACCGTTGTTAAAAGAAATGTGTTTAACTTTGAAAATGTGGGCGCAATTTTAATGGTCAAAAACTCCAACGAACCATTAGTTCATTTTGCTCAAATAGAAATAGAGGCCTGCCTCTAATTCTGGTCCTCCTTCCAATAAAGGCCTGGAACTTGATGAGCTTGAGTCAAATACAGGCCCGGTCCTGTATTAGAGGATTTACGGTATCTTTTCTTTTTCTGACTTGTTCTTTTCTTCTGTTTATTGCCCATGTTGGGTATCCTCAGGTTTTTAAAGCATTTTGCATATGTTTGTCCTGTTCTTCTGTTATTATGTTGGCTCGGTGGTATAACGTTGTGATTACTGACATTTTATGTATGATGGGAGGTTCTGATGTTCATGGTAAATATTGGTCCATGTGTTGGTTTCCTGGATGTGTTTAGGTTAGGCTGGCTGGTTCTTTTCAAGTCCATGCTGCTGGCTTTTTCTTCTTTCTATGTAAATGTCGTTATTGGTGCCGCCGGTGGTGTTCAGGTGTCTCGTTGGTGCCTCTGGTATGACGAGAGAAAATCAGATATGGGACTGGGACAGCACACGGTTCATAAAGCAGAACAGCAAAAATACAGACGATGGATTACAGAAGCAATGGAAATGAGGAGATGTGGACCCAGGATAGTGAACAGGGACAAAGGACTGTACACACTGGACCGTTATGGGACAGGGTCATCAGCGCGGGCAGCAGAGGGCGATGTCGTTCGTTGCTGACTGCAGGTAAACGGAGACGGAAGTGACGACCCCATCGTTGGCGTTGTTCTGAGGAAGGCTACAGAGTTAGCCGAAACTTGTCAGAAAACAAAAACAAATCTTTATTACACTGTGTGCCAAAACAGACCCAAACGATAGGATTTGATAAACAACACAGAACGAACGTACAGAAGATAAACGGCTAGAACCAAAGGAACTGATGTTTTGGGTTCATGGTTGTTTTTATTTTCTAGTTTACTGGATAAAGGTGTGGTTAGGGTTCAGGTTACATTGTATTGTTGTCTAAAATGATTTAGTTTCATGCTTGTTCTGCACTGTGATTGGCCCTGTGCTGTCTTACAGTGCTGTATACGTAAAGTTATGGATGGTATCTCATCGTAGGTGCTACCAAAGCGTCCAGCAGAACCTTCTAGGCATAAAGTAGTAACATCTGTTCATTTTGAACTTCCTCTCTCCACATAGCTCGGCCAGCTACTGGCCTCCACCTGCAAAGAGCTTCCAGGTCCAAAAGAAAGTCGGCGCACAGCCAAGGAGCTGTGGGACGTGGTGGTCCAGATCTGCAGCGTCTCGGTCCAACACAAGAGGAGCAGCGATGGCCGACTGGGTCTCATCAAACATAGAGAGTCGACTCTGGGCATCATGCAGCGGTTTGTTACCATAACAGCTGCTTTCTGTGGTTCGTTACTAGCATGTTTGGTTAAAGATTTTTTTGATCATCCAGGAACAAGTTCATCACCTTCATAAAGAAACTCCGAGTGAGTACCAACAAAATAAAAGCATCTCCTTTAGCTGTAAGTCTGATGACAAGATTTAAGGATGTTTTCCTCTCAGGAGCCGCTGGTGCTGACCACCCTGATCTCTCTGTTCGTCAGACTCCACAGCATCGTACGGGTACGTCTCCTGTTACTCTCCCTAGGGTTGCAGGTTCTAACCCCATCTGTAGCAGGCGTTGTGCCCCTGGGCAAGGCGCCTCACCCTCCTTACCTACTGGTGGTGGTTGGTGGTACCGGTGGTTTCTGTCTGTGTGTCCCAGGTAGGGATGGGTACCGAATTCAGTACTTTTTAAGGTACCGACCGAATTCCATAGTACCGACTGAGCACCGATTCATGTCATTTGAAACGGTGCCTCGTTTCGGTACCCGTCCATCATAACGAGAACTTGCCAAGACAGCTGTGCATGCGCAAGAGCGTTATGTCGTCGGTCGCTGCGAGCCAGTTGTAAACAGAGCAGCATGGTAGAGAGAACGCACGCTAACGCTTGGGTCCACTTCACTAAATGTGATGGGTAACTGGGTGATGATGAAACCAGCGACAACGATCTAAGTGAGACATCCTCATCTTAATCTGCTCTTGTAGGTAAATATAAATAGCTTGATATGTTAGCTTCCGTTTCGCTAATGGTGCGTTCGCTTTCTCCTCGGAACTCAGAATTTCCGACTAGAAGAACATGAACGCGCTCTAAAGTTTGGCTTCACTTTACTAAATGTGACGGGTGAAGACGAAACCAGTGATGATCTAAGTGTGAGGTATCGTTTTAATCTGCGCCAGCAGCTAAATAAATTGTTTAAGATAACGTTAGCTTGATATGTTAGCTTCCATTGCCACCGTTGTTATCAGCTAATGGTGCGTTCGCTTTCTCCTCGGAAATTCTAACTTCCCAGTAGGAAAAATCAATTGAAAAAGGACGGCAAAAGGAATGAAGACACACAGTAAATTTAGTTCACAGTAAAGATGTTTGCTTCAGTTTAATTATCAGCTTATAAAACTACAAGGACGATGTTAAAATACAAACAGTTGAATGTTATTTATCGTGATATTTATCAAATATGGTTATATATTGAGAAAAAATATATATTTAATTATAAAAGAGAATTAAAATAATAAACACTCAAAAGTATCAAAAATTGGTACCGTTAAGTACCGGTATCGATTCGTAGGTAACGGTAATTAGTACCGGATCAATTCAAATGTCAAAGGTAACCATCCCTAGTCCCAGGTCAGCTGTGGTTACGATGTAGCTCATCGCCACCAGCGTGTGAATGGGTGAATGACTGGTTGTGTTGTGAAGCGCCTTGGGGGTTTGTCTAACCTAGGAGGCAGGAAAAGAACTTTATCCAGAACGCTGGTGAGAGGACAAGGATATTTAGAACCAGCAATGGAAACCCTGGTAAGAATACAGGTGCTGGCCAGTAAATTAGAATATCATCAAAAGGTTGAAAATATTTCAGTAATTCCATTCAAAACGTGAAACTTGTACATTATATTCATGCAATGCACACAGACCAATGTATTTCCGATGTTTATTACGTTTAATTTTGATATTTATAGGTGACAACCAATGAAAACATCAAATCTGGTATCTCAGAAAATTAGAATATTCTAAAGGCCAATGAAAAAATGTTTGTTTCTCTAATGTTGGCCAACTGAAAAGAATGAACATGAAAAGAATGTGCATGTATAGCACTCAATACTTAGTCGGGGCTCCTTTTGCCTCAATAACTGCAGTAATGCGGCGTGGCATGGACTCGATCAGTCTGTGGCACTGCTCAGGTGTTATGAGAGCCCAGGTTGCTCTGATAGTCGTCTTCAGCTCCTCTGCATTGTTGGGTCTAGCGTATTGCATCCTCCGCTTCACAATACCCCATAGATTTTCTATGGGGTTAAGGTCAGGCGAGTTTGCTGGCCAATCAAGGACAGGGATACCATGGTCCTTGAACCAGGTGCTGGTGGTTTTGGCACTGTGTGCAGGTGCCAAGTCCTGTTGAAAGGTGAAGTCTGCATCCCCATAAAGTTGGTCAGCAGCAGGAAGCATGAAGTGCTCTAAAACTTCCTGGTAGACGGCTGCATTGACCCTGGACCTCAGGAAACAGAGTGGGCCAACACCGGCAGATGACATGGCACCCCACACCATCACTGACGGTGGAAACTTTACACTGGACCTCATGCAACGTGGATTCTGTGCTTCTCCGCTCTTCCTCCAGACTCTGGGTCCTTGATTTCCAAAGGAAATGCAGAACTTGCTTTCATCAGAAAACATAACTTTGGACCACTCAGCATCAGTCCAGTCCTTTTTGTCCTTGGCCCAGGCGAGACGCTTCTTGCGCTGTTTCTTGTTCAAGAGTGGCTTGACACACGGAATGCGACACCTGAATCCCATGTCTTTCATGAGTCTCCTCGTGGTGGTTCTTGAAGCGCTGACTCCAGCTGCAGTCCACTCTTTGTGGATCTCCCCCACATTTTTGAATGGGTTTGTCGTCACAATTCTCTGCAGGGTGCGGTTATCCCTAGAGCTTGTACACTTTTTTCTACCACATTTTTTCCGTCCCTTCGCCTGTCTGTTAATGTGCTTGGACACAGAGCTCTGCGAACAGCCAGCTTCTTTAGCAATCACCTTTTGTGTCTTGCCCTCCTTGTGCAAGGTGTCAATGATTGTCTTTTGGACAGCTGTTAAGTCAGAAGTCTTCCCCATGATTGTGGTGCCTTCAAAACAAGACTGAGGGACCTTTTAAAGGCCTTTGCAGGTGTTTTGAGTAAATCAGCTGATTAGAGTGGCAGCAGGTGTCTTCTATATTCAGCCTTTTCAGAATATTCTAATTTTTTGAGATACCAAATTTGGAGTTTTCATTAGTTGTCACTTATGAATATCAAATTTAAATGTAATGAACATTGGAAATACATTGGTCTGTGTGCATTGCATGAATATAATGTACAAGTTTCACGTTTTGAATGGAATTACTGAAATATTTTCAACCTTTTGATGATATTCTAATTTACTGGCCAGCACCTGTATGCAGCCTGAGAAGCAGAACCTTGTATAGCTTATGTTGTTGCTGCAGGTGAACACGTCGAAACTAGATGCAGTCAGGCCATCTTGGAGGTGTTACTACTGACCCACATGCTTCGTGGCTTCCCTCTGAGTGTCCAGCCCCCAGCTGCAGAGAGACGCTATGAGGCCCAGCTGGCTGAGTCTTTGTTCGAGCTCTGAACTAAAATCTAAGGAAAGGCTTCGAACGTATGAGTGTGTGAGGGCTGGATGGAGAGCAGCAGGACCACTTTGACCCGAAAAGCAAAAAATGTTGATAAAAGAACAAACTAAAACAGGATCAAATTAAACTGTAGTATCTAACAGTACAGCTAACTCATGCTGAGGCAATGCTACCGTGTAGAAGTGAGACTTCATCCAGCTCTTAAAAACAGTCGGTGAGGGTTCTTGTCTGACCTCCAGTGGAAGGTCATTCCACAGCTCTGGGGCCAGAACTGAGATTATTTTTGTCATTAAGAACACAGAAACAATGGATATAAGCCAACACGTAACAAAGGAGCCCTTCAACACCGAGAAATACTGTCTATGGAAGTTATGAACAGGATCGGTGACAAAGGGAAGACTTGGCAGAGTCCAACTCTCACCAGGAGCGAGTCTGACTTGCTGCAAACGATGCAGACCGAGCTCTGGCTCCATTCACACATGGACCCAACAGCCTGTGTCACAGAGCGAACAAAGGCCTTCTCCAACTCTTCAAAACACATCTAACCCTAATCCAGAAACACCACTCTACCACCGACACTCTCTGCTCTGCAACGCTGATGTTTCATCTCCACCAATAACTCAAGTCTGGAGGAGTTCTGCTGTGTGGTGGAGTTGCTAATGCTAATGATTAGCTTCTACTAGCTGAGACGTTCTCTGCTGTTTCCTGGACTAAACCAACAACAGCCTTCCCCGTCGTGAGTCAAGATGGATGAGTCCATGAATGTTAGTGACAGGGTGACGTAGATCTGTCAGGATTTTATATCCTAGAGTTTCACCGTCTGTTTTCTATCAGAAGCTGATGAAGGAGATAGGTGTAGGAGACTAGTATCTATCAGAAGCTGATGGAGATAGGTGTAGGAGACTAGTATCTATCAGAAGCTAATGCAGGAGATAGGTGTAGGAGACTAGTATCTATCCGAAGCTGATGGAGATAGGTGTAGGAGACTAGTATCTATCAGAAGCTGATGGAGATAGGTGTAGGAGACTAGTATCTATCAGAAGCTGATGGAGATAGGTAGGGCTGCAACTAACGATTATTTTCATAATCGATTAATCTGTCGATTATTTTTTCGATTAATCGATTAATCGGTTTGTTATTGTTTAGCTATTTAACCTATACAAGTGATGGATGCATTTCAGTTAAGAACAAAAAACCATAAGAGAATTGTGCAGTTGACTGCAATCTATTTTATTGCACATGAACACAGTCAGCAGTATAAAATGAGCTAAACAGTGCAAAATATTAGTCCAGAATAATTTTTAGCATTAGCTGGAAGCCTGCTCCTTCCACCATGGATAGTGGCCTCATGTCTTTTACCAGCATGTTTAGAATAGAGTTTGTAAGTGGTATGAATTGCTGGGGGGTGAGTGTCTTGTTCCCCATGTAGTTGTCCATCGTTGCTTGTTTTTTTCTGCATAAGAAACACAAATAGACTGAAATAAGTACACATATAAAATAAAGCAGCACACACACTACAACACTAAATCAATATTATATTATTTGAATTAATTAACAATATACAGTGATCATTTATTTTGAGGGTTACGTTCTACAAAATAGCCCGCAACAGGAGATATTCAGAAAAAAAGTAAAACATTTTTACTATTAAAAAGCTCTAAGTAAGAAGCTCATGAGGTTTTTACTTTGAGTCGGGAGTGTTTAAATTAGCCAGAGAAATGTGAAAAATGTTTATTTTGTGTAATACTGTTTAAGAAACATTATAAAAATGTGTTGTGAGGCGTTTTACAGCGTTAGATAGTAAAACAGCCTTTTAATAGTAAAAAAATGACTTTTTCTGAATTTCTCCTGTATTTAAAAATTGAAAGTGTACAACTATGCCGCGTTATATTCACCTGGACACAGCTTGTCTGTATATTTTTCTCCGCGGAGTTGTCCTTTTTTGAATGAGGAACATAGTTATGGGTTTGTGCCGTTTTTCTCTTAACGAGAACATTCTTATAAACAGACGTGCTGAATTTGGCAAGCGCATGATACACAACACGGAGGAGATTCACGATTGCATCTAGTCAATCAGAAGTAGAACACCGCAGACTGACGCGGCAAAAAAACATGTTTAACATCCACTATAACGAACTCAGCTAAAACACTAAGTCCAGCTTGTTTATTTTCTGTTACTTACCGGGCTGGCTCTTCCAAATGACGGCTCACTTGACCGCGGTGCTCTTCCTCTGCTGCATCAGCCCCCACATGCTTTCGTCTCAAATGTGCTCCCATACTCGTGAGGTTTTTGTCCGGGGTTTCTCTTCAGTTTTGTCGCTTCTATTTTTCTTCCGTATTTCCTCTTGTTCCGCCATTTTCTCACAGCAAGATGAGCGTCAGTAACGTGATACGTCATGAAAACCGAGGGCACCCATTGGCTCATTTCTTCTTCTACGGCTCCACTGGTAGATCAGTGGCTCATTACTGCCACACACTGGCGGCAAATTTAACAGCTTGTAACCGATGTCAGATTGTGGTAAAAAATAGACTTTATGCGGTAAAATATGATTATTAAACAACTAATCGATGACTAAAAAAGTTGTTAACTATTTTAATAATCGATTATAATCGATTAAATCGATTAGTTGTTTCAGCTCTAGAGATAGGTGTAGGAGACTAGTATCTATCAGAAGCTGATGGAGATAGGTGTAGGAGACTAGTATCTATCAGAAGCTGATGGAGATAGGTGTAGGAGACTAGTATCTATCAGAAGCTGATGGAGATAGGTGTAGGAGACTAGTATCTATCAGAAGCTAATGCAGGAGATAGGTGTAGGAGACTAGTATCTATCAGAAGCTGATGGAGATAGGTGTAGGAGACTAGTATCTATCAGAAGCTGATGGAGATAGGTGTAGGAGACTAGTATCTATCAGAAGCTGATGGAGATAGGTGTAGGAGACTAGTATCTATCAGAAGCTGATGGAGATAGGTGTAGGAGACTAGTATCTATCAGAAGCTGATGGAGATAGGTGTAGGAGACTAGTATCTATCAGAAGCTGATGGAGATAGGTGTAGGAGACTAGTATCTATCAGAAACTGATGGAGATAGGTGTAGGAGACTAGTATCTATCAGAAGCTGATGGAGATAGGTTTAGGAGACTAGTATCTATCAGAAGCTGATGGAGATAGGTGTAGGAGACTAGTATCTATCAGAAACTGATGAAGGAGATAGGTCTAGGAGACTAGTATCTATCAGAAGCTGATGGAGATAGGTGTAGGAGACTAGTATCTATCAGAAGCTGATGGAGATAGGTGTAGGAGACTAGTATCTATCAGAAGCTGATGGAGATAGGTGTAGGAGACTAGTATCTATCAGAAGCTGATGAAGGAGATAGGTGTAGGAGACTAGTATCTATCAGAAGCTGATGGAGATAGGTGTAGGAGACTAGTATCTATCAGAAGCTGATGGAGATAGGTGTAGGAGACTAGTATCTATCAGAAGCTGATGGAGATAGGTGTAGGAGACTAGTATCTATCAGAAGCTGATGAAGGAGATAGGTGTAGGAGACTAGTATCTATCAGAAGCTACTGCAGGAGATAGGTGTAGGAGACTAGTATCTATCAGAAGCTGATGGAGATAGGTGTAGGAGACTAGTATCTATCAGAAGCTGATGAAGGAGATAGGTGTAGGAGACTAGTATCTATCAGAAGCTGATGGAGATAGGTGTAGGAGACTAGTATCTATCAGAAGCTGATGAAGGAGATAGGTGTAGGAGACTAGTATCTATCAGAAGCTGATGGAGATAGGTGTAGGAGACTAGTATCTATCAGAAGCTGATGGAGATAGGTGTAGGAGACTAGTATCTATCAGAAGCTGATGAAGGAGATAGGTGTAGGAGACTAGTATCTATCAGAAGCTGATGGAGATAGGTGTAGGAGACTAGTATCTATCAGAAGCTGATGGAGATAGGTGTAGGAGACTAGTATCTATCAGAAGCTGATGGAGATAGGTGTAGGAGACTAGTATCTATCAGAAGCTGATGAAGGAGATAGGTGTAGGAGACTAGTATCTATCAGAAGCTACTGCAGGAGATAGGTGTAGGAGACTAGTATCTATCAGAAGCTGATGGAGATAGGTGTAGGAGACTAGTATCTATCAGAAGCTGATGAAGGAGATAGGTGTAGGAGACTAGTATCTATCAGAAGCTACTGCAGGAGATCGGTGTAGGAGACTAGTATCTATCAGAAGCTGATGGAGATAGGTGTAGGAGACTAGTATCTATCAGAAGCTGATGGAGATAGGTGTAGGAGACTATTATCTATCAGAAGCTGATGGAGATAGGTGTAGGAGACTAGTATCTATCAGAAGCTGATGAAGGAGATCGGTGTAGGAGACTATTTTCATGTTCAGCCCGCATGGAACACTCAAGAGTGACCCGTTAGAATCAGACATGATCATTAAAACGTGGTTTTTCAGTGAACTTGGTCTTTAACTTAAAGAACATCCTGAGCCGACCCAGACCTGGGGAGTGAAACCTGTGGCTGCTTGTTCTGGCTGAGCAGTTCTGGTGCCTTACCAAGTCTCTTCTCTTCTGCAGGATGACATCGTGAATGAAGTGACAGCAGAACATCTCTCCATCTGGCCTTCTTCACTTCCAAAGTAAGAACCCGTTTCATTACCTAGAACCTTCCCAGCAGAACCAGCTGTCCGTGTGACCCGTTTAGATCTGTGTGTGTGTGTGTGTGTGTGTGTGTGTGTGTGTGTGTGTGTGTGTGTGTGTCTGTAGCCTTCAGGCGGTGGATGTGGAGGCTGTGGCTGTCACGGTCAGAGAGCTGGTTTCTTTTGCTCTCAGTCTGAACCCACACAACCAGTCCTGGCTTGGAACACAGGCTGACATCTACTTCGGTAAGAAGACAGAACGTTCATCAGCTTCTGACAACAGAAGCAGAACCTCACTGAAAACCCAAACCTGGTTCTTCTGTCTGCAGTGACCAATCAGTACTGCGCTGCACTGAACTTTTACCTCCAGGCTGGAGCCGTGTGCTCCGACTTCTTCACCAAGCCAGTTCCTCCTGATGTGTACACGGACCAGGTGAGTTGGGTTGGGTCAGGCTCGGGGCCGTGACCCTGACCCAAGTGGCAGGCAGTGCGTTTGGTACCTGGGCCTTCACCACGTTTACAACTAAATTCACCACTATGAGGTTATAATTACAAGCCACCATCATTATTACACAAGCACACAATCTGGTATCAGATGTCCTGTTCAGACCACACAGAACCAGATTAGCTGTTTTTATTAAATCAACAAGATTTTTCTGGAGCATACCGAGAGAGGGAGAGATTACACCCCGCTCTTTATCAGTGAATAAATAACTGTAGGTGATTATTCAGAGCCCACGAGGGTTCAGCAGGGAAAATCCTTTCATGTTGTGAGAAACCGTCCCCCCCCCCCCCCCCCCCTCCTTTGCCTGCTGGTGGTGGTGGGAGGGACCAGTGGCGCCTGTGCTCGGCAGCCTCCCCTCTGTCAGGTCGCCCCAGAGCAGCTGTGGCTACATCGTAGCTCATCACCACCAGGGTGTGAATGGGTGAATGACTGATTGTGTTGTCAAGAGCCTTGGGGGGTTGGAGAACCCTAAAGCTTGGTTTATGCTTGACGCGTCCGTGAGGTCCGCACGGCTACTCGCTGCAGAATTGCGTCATTTTAACAACCACCCCCCTCCACCGCGCCTCTGCACGGCCCAAACTTTTGTGTGTGTGTGTGTGTGTGTGTGTGTGTGTGTGTGTGTGTGTGTGTGTGTGTGTGTGTGTGTGTGTGTGTGTGTGTGTGTGTGTGTGTGTGTGTGCGCCTGCTCTGTCTTCTCCATCCCCAGTGAGTCGTGGAGGATGGCTGCTTATACAGGATTCTCTGGAGGTTTCTTCCTGTTAAAAGGGAGTTTTCCTCTCCACTGTGATCAGGCAAGGTGCAAGGCTGGAAAATCTGACAAAGAGTGTTCAATAATCTGGCAGGGAACTGGTGGCTGGCTGGTGAATATATAGCAGGGGGAGTAGGTGAGTGAGATGAGCTGATGACAGGGTGCAGGTGATGGTAATTAAGTGGCTGAGGGCTTGATAGAGGAGGCAGCAGAGGCAGAGGAGGGTGTAAGACTTGGAGTCATGACAGAACCCCCCCCCCCCCCCCCCCCCCCCCCTCAAGGGCAGATTCCAGATGCCCGCAGGAAACCAGAGCAGGGCGGGAGGAGGGGGACCAGGAAGGAGGGCCAGAAGAGTCTGAGAGGATTGGAGATGGGGGACCGGAGATGGAGATGCAGGAGCCGGCAGGGTCTCGGGAGTCGGGGAACACGGCAGAAACCGGAGGGCCCTTGGGGGCCAGTGACGATGGACCAGGGACCAGGAGACTCTGGGGGGCCGGAGGCGATGAGGCAGTGGCCAGAGGGCCCTTGGAGGCTGGCGGCGATGGGCGAGGACAGGGCTGGCGGTGACTGAGACACTGACTTGACCGGAGGCGCCGGACTTGACGCTGACTTGACTGGAGACTACGACTCTGGTGGATGAGGGGACGAAGACTCTGGACGAAGAGGGGACAAAGACTCTGGAGGCGAAGACGAAGGCGCCAGACGTGGCGATGACGGGGCTGGAGGAAGAGCCTCTTGGACAGGCTGGACCGGGATCTATGCTGGACGTGGATGCAGTGCAACCCCTGGGACCACCGTTGGACCTGGACAGGCGGAGCCTCTTGGACAGGCGGAAGTGGAACCACCGCTGGACGTGGATGCGGTGCGGCCTCTGGGACCACCGCTGGACGTGGCATGACAGGAGGCTTGAGTGGCGTGAAGACAGGAGGGGCTTGAGATTGGAGCGATGTGGCTGCTAAACCTTGGATCTGGGAAGGCAGTGAATTAGTAGAGGGTCTCCGGGGCCGCCACCGTTGCGTTGTCAGGAGCCCGCTGCAGGCCTGGACAGAGGGTTGGAACCTCTGCGCGGCAGTGGCCTAATTGCCAGGCGTGTTCCCCAGAACGGTGACTCCTGTTCCTTTTCCAGCTCCATAAACTCAAGGAGCGTGAGATACTCAACCGCTGGATCCATGACAGGTCAGATTGAATGTTGGCTAAACTCCTGCTATGCCAGTTCTGTGTCGGCGTCAGGTTTATGTTTTGGTCAGATAATTCTGTCATGATCAGAACTTGGAAGACCCGTGATGACATCAAACACAGTAAGGTTCCTTAAAAAGTCTTTAATGGATGTGGCGTTACCAGAGGAGGGCGAGGCTGGAGACAGAGTCGGAGAGGAGGCGTGGGTCAAAAACCAGAACGAGTCGAAGCAGGTAAATGGAGCAGGCTAGAGAAGGGGTCAAAGACAGGCGAGGGTCAAGATGGCAGGCAGAGTCCTAGACAGGGTTAGGCGTGAAAACGAGGTCCGGAGGCTGTGATCAGGTAAGGTGCAAGGCTGGAAAATCTACTGACAAAGAGCGTTCAATAATCTGGCAGGGAACTGGTGGCTGGCTGGTGAATATATAGCAGGGGGAGCAGGTGAGTGAAATGAGCTGATGACAGGGTGCAGGTGATGGTAATTAAGTGGCTGAGGGCTTGATAGAGGAGGCAGAGGAGGGTGTAAGACTGGGAGTCATGACAGTTTATTGTAATTGTATTAGTTCTCTCACGTTTTAATTTGTTTATTTTAATGCTTAAGTGTTTTTACGTTTTTCTTTTTTTCTCCTGTACTATTTTCCGAGGCTTTCAGCCAGGTCATGTTTGTAAATGAGAACTTGTTCTCAAACATTTGATCTGGTTGAATAAATAAGTAAAAGGAAAAGAAAAGACTTTTCTGGGATTGAAGGAGGGCAAACATTTTGATCATGGATGGAAATGCAGGGTTTAGAGGTTGAGGCTGCACAAAAAGGTGGAGGAGAATGGGGGGGGGGGGGGGGGGAGGATGGTGGTGTTAAAAAGTGTCTGAAATATACAAACACCCAATAGTTTTACACATTCATGGACCAGAGACATGGTTGCAGTGGCGGCAGGATACCCCAGGAAAGTGCTACGCCCTCTTGGTGGGAAATTACTTTGCAACACTGCCTAGGCAACAAAGTCTGCAAGAAAATGTTTCTGTCAATATACAAATCAGGCCCAGCTCCTCCCTACCTGTGCATGTGCACACGCACGCGTAATTATTGTTACGACTGTTACGGCCAGTCACACACAGAAGTACACAGAACACATCGCACGTTTATTACTCAGGACTGATCTGAAAGGAAACGATCTTTTATACAGCGCCTCCCGAGTAAAAAAATCACGAGGCGCTTCACAAAAACAAAAAATAAAAAAAATATAAAAAAGCATTTAGAAAATGTTTTAAAATATATTTAAAATAAGCAAAAATAAGCAATTGCGATTTAAAAGAAAAAATATTACGAAAGAGAGAGAGTGAACAGGAAAGAGGGAAATCAGTGGATCCTGAGGAAGGTGGAATAGGTGGGGAGAGCAGAATAAAGAGAGAGAGGGGTCCAGAGTCTGGGGGCCACAGCAGCAAATGATCTGTCACCTTTGACCTTTAGCCTGGTGCTGCACAACCAGTAGGCTTTGATCACTGGACCTCAGGGACCTGCTGGGGGTGTAGGGACTAAGAAGATCACCAATGTAAGATGGTGCTTGTCCATGTAAGGCCCTATAGACCAGAACCAGGATCTTGAAATGAACCCTGAAGTTGACTGGCAGCCAGTGAAGCTGGAGGAGAAGCGGGGTGATGTGGGTGTGTTTGGAGGACTTGGTCAGAAGCCGAGCACAGGCGTTCTGAACCACCTGTAGACGGTTCAGGGAGGTTCTGCTCAGACACGTGAAAAGAGAGTTACAGTAGTCTAAGCGTGAGGAGATGAAGGTGTGGAGAACTGTCTCAAGTTCAGAGCGGGACAGAATGGGACTCAGCTTAGCAACGTTCCTGAGATGGAAGAAGGAAGAGCGAACAAGAGAACTGACATGAGAATCCAGGGTGAGAACTGGGTCAAAGGTCACGCCAAGATTCCTGACAGAGGGTTTGGTGTGGGAAGCAAGCTGACCAAGAGAGTCTCTGACTTTGGGAACCAGCTTGTCTGGGGCACAGATGAGGATCTCAGTCTTATCTTCATTCAGCTGAAGAAAGCTCCCACCATCCAGGTTCTGATAGAGTCTAAGCAGGTGTGTAACAGCTGCAGCTTAGACATCTCATGGGGCTTAAAGGAGATGTACAGTTGGATGTCATCTGCATAAAGATGGTAGGAAATTCCTTTGAAGGAGCTCAGGATGCACTGAAGAGGAAGCAGATAGAGGAGGAAGAGCAGAGGTCCCAGCACAGAACCTTGTGGGACACCATGGGTAAGAGAGGTGGTGGAGGACCTAAACTTGAAGACGGCCACAGAAAAGGAGCGCTCAGAGAGATAAGAGGAGAACCACTCCAGAGCAGATCCTGATAGGCCTACCCAGTCTCTCAGCCACTCCAGTAGCAGGTGATGGTCAACAGTGTCAAAGGCTGCAGTCAGATCCAGCAGGACCAGAACAGAACCCTGCATCACTGTGAGTCAGAAGGTCATTAGAGACCCTAAGAAGAGCTGTTTCAGTAGAATGAGCTCTACGAAAACCTGACTGGAAGCTATCATAGATGTTCTGTTCATCAAGAGCAGCTGTGAGTTGTTTAGCCACAACCTTTTCCAAGATCTTGGAGATGAACGGAAGTTTAGAGATGGGTCTGAAGCTGCTATGGAGAGAGGGGTCGAGACTCGGTTTTTAAGAAGCGGGTGGATTACAGCGTTCTTAAAGTAAGCAGGGACCTGACCAGAGACCAGAGAAGCATTAATTATAGAGAGCATGCTGGGACCGATGGGCTGAAAAGCACTTTTAAACAAAGATGAGGGTAAGATGTGGAGGGGGCATGCAGAGGTCTTCATAGAGTTAACTAGTTTGGTTAACTCAGGCAAAGAAACAGGAGCAAAGCTATCTAGGATGATGGGCCTGGTTGGAGTCGGGAGAGGCGGCGATAAGGCTGAAGGAGAGATGCTAGATCTAACCTTATTGACTTTGTCCACAAAGAAAGACAGAAAGTTCTCACAGTCTGCAACAGAGTGGATGGAGGCTGTAGGAGAGGCAGGAGAGTCGATGCTGCTGATGGTGTTAAACAGCACCTTGGGGTTCCCTTTGCTCTGGGACACCAGGTTGGAGAAATAGGAAACCCTGGCGTCTCTGACTGCAGAGTTAAAGGATGTCAGAAGATCCTTTAGGTGCAGCAGATGGACGTGGAGATGGGTTTTCTTCCACAAACGCTCAATTTTTCTGCATTGGTGCTTCAGGCTGCGAAGGCTGTCATTAAACCAGGGAGTAGGGTTCACTGCAGGACCTGATCTGGTTCTGACAGGACAGATTTTGTCCAGAATGGAGAGGCAGTGCTCGTTAAACTGAGAAGTTAAGGAATCTGGGTCGTTATCAGAAGAACAGGGTGGATCAAAAGCAGCAGAAAAATTGCTAGCTGTGCTCTCATTAAGAAAACGAGAACTAACCATACAGCGAGCAGGAGGTGGGGACGCAGAAACTGACAAGTTAAAGAAAATGCAATGGTGATCTGAAATATAAACGTCCTCAGGACAAACACTGTCAGCATTTAGACTCAGGGTAAAAACAAGGTCTAGAGAGTGCCCCCTGGTGTGTGGGGGGCCAGAAACATGCTGGGTAAAGCTGAAGGAGTCCATGAGGCTGGAGAAATTCATGGCAAAGTGATGGGAGGGATCATCAACGTGGATGTTAAAGTCACCAACAATCACCAGTCTGGACAGCTTCACAGTGGAGGATAGAAAGTCACTAAACTCCTGAAGGAAAGAACTGTTTGGACCAGGTGGACGATAGACCACAGCACAGTAGAACGGGTCCTTACGCCCGACTTTAATCAGCTGCAGTTCAAAGGAAGCAAAGTGACCAGAGGTTGTAGAGCTACATGGAAGATGGTCTCTGAAAACAACAGCTAGGCCTCCACCACGACCAGAACCCCGGGGCTGGCTAAGAAAAGAATAACCACTCGGGCAGAGTTCAATCAGACCAGAATAATCAGATGTTTGCTGCCAAACTTCAGTCAGAAACAGAAAATCCAGGTTTTTAGAGAGAATTAGATCATTGAGCAGGAAGGTCTTATTGTTAACAGAGCGTGTATTTAATAGAACCATGCTGAGTGAGGTGGAGGAATCAGAAACTACAGAAACAGCTGGAGTTAGTGGACGTAAATTAGCAAGGTTAGATCCACGGTGTTTATAAAAACCACTTATGGAGGGAACAGGAGGAGAAACCACTGAGGAATGAGGAGAAACCGACCTTAAAAAACTTGGACGGATGAACCGTGTCCCAACTCGGCCTAGCGGGAAAGCGGAAGTGGCGCTCAGGTCACTAAACAAAGGACAAGAAGCTAGAAGATCACGCCGATGTTTACTAGATAAACCACGCTTTAAGAGAAGTCTTATTCTCACCTGGATTCCTGCTCGTTTACCTCTTTTCCTCCGACGTTTTCCCGGGACCGGACAAACATCGCTAGAGGTGCGCAGCTCTGGATCATCGTTTGGTTCCGGGCCAGTGCACCAGTCAGGTAAACAAACAGGATGGTAAATTCTCGGTGCATCTTGGGCGATCGTGAACGAACGGAAGGACAAAAGAGTCTGGCGATCCTAGGAGATGTTAGCAGGGACACTACTGAAGAGGATCGCAGACAGGAGCAAGGTGGAAAAGAGGAGGTTAGTGGAGAAAGGTTTGAAAAAGTGGCCGGTGACCGCGGCTAAGCCAAGCACAGGCGCCATCTTGTTGCCGACCGAGGCGCTTTACGAGTGCAACAAATGTCGTATATAAATATATATATAGTCTACAGCTCCTCCCCGGTTGGTGGGTCCTCCCCTGGCTCCTCATCCCCAAGGTGGAGAGAAATTATATAATAAAAGTTATTACATGGGTATAACTTGTTTGTTTCTGGATATATGGGGGAGATATTTTACCTTTTTATTCTGCCACGAAACTTGGTCAGCCACGATGTGGGTGGTTTAGCACTTGATTTGGCCAGTAATCATTCCCTTGAGCGTATTTAATCAGCTGGAAACCTGTTTAATGAAATTTTACCATCATTCTTTTGTCTGCCAGTGCAGCCTACAGCTCTATGAGGAAGGGAGGGAGGGAGGAGAAATAAATCACGAGGTGCTTCACAAAAACAACAACTTTTCAATATAAGAAAGATTTAAAAAAATTATTTAGAAATGTTTAAAATACAAAAATAAAAACTGTGATTAAAAAGGAAAGGGAGAGAAAATGAACAGGGAAGAGGTTATCAGTGGATCCTGGGAAAGGCGGAATAAGAGCAGAACCAGGAGAGAGAGGTGATGAAGGCCCCACCAAAACCTAAACAGGTGAGTTTAAAGGAGACCACTGAGTCCACTGATCTCAAGCCCAGGGGGAGAGAGGTCCAGAGTCTGGGGGCCACAGCAGCAAATGATCTGTCACCTTTGACCTTTAGCCTTTAACTCTGTCATCTACCTTCAATAATTAATTATGATCAATAGTTTTTGATCAATTTGCCTGCTTCTGAACACCCCCCTCAATCCCCCCGCGTGTGCTGTCTGATATTCTCAGTCTAAAAACGAGTTGTTAACGAGAGCACGTGCACTCTGACATGCACGCAAGCACACACAGAGAGCATTTATGTTCATTTATACATTGTATTGTTGGATAGTATTTGCCACAGGAGTCCCGCAGGGCTCTGTACTAGTACCACTTCTTTTTGCCATATACACCACATCACTGGGTGAGAGCATTCAATCACATGGCTTATCCTACCACTGCTATGCCTACGACACCATCTCTATCTGTCATTTCCGCCGAACGACCTCACAGTTTCCACACAAATCTCGGACTGTCTTTCTGACATATCAAGATGGATGAAATCCCACCATCTCCAACTCAACCTCTCTAAAACTGAATTACTTGTCATTAGGGATGGACAATATATCTGCATCAATTTCGGTATCGGCCGATGTTAGTCATTTTTTAACATATCTGTATCGGTCTGATAAATAGAACCAAGCTGATATTAACAACCGATATTTTTTTCATCTCATCTCCATTTGTTTGCCTGTTACAGAGGGTGAGGGGGGTGATGTGTGATTGTTTAGTCATGTGAACAGTGAATGAAATCATCTCAGAACCGTAGATGTGTGTGGTGTGTGTACATAACGTAAATTCAGCTTTAATCATTTTCATTCCATACAAAATCTGCTGATTTTAGAAGCGTTAATGTCAGTATATCGGTATCTGCAAATATCGGTTATTGCAATAGCAGCGATCTTAATATCGGTATCGGCCCAAAAATTTTATATCGGTGCATCACTACTTGTCAACCCAGCGAAACCATCCATACGGCACGGTATCTCAGTCCAACATGAGTCCCTCTCTCTGGCTCCTTCCTTGGTGATGTGATTGATGGCCAGCTTCACGCTGTATAACATCTGAAAGATCAGACCGTACCTAACACACCCAGCTCCTGGTCCAATCTACTGTCATCTCCCGCCTCGGCTACTGCAACGTCCTTCTAACTGGTCCTCCAGCCTGGACTGTGAGACCTCTTCAGATGGTCCAGATTGCAGCGGCGCGTTTGGTCTTCAATCAGCCTAAAAGAGCACACGTCACCGCTCTGCTCACTGAGCTCCAGTGGCTACTGCTAGCTGCACCCGTCAAATTCAAATCGCTAGCACTAGCATACAAAGTCCTGGATGGTACAGCGCCCATCTACCCGAGTTATCTAGTAAAGGCTTACGTCACGGCTCAGCTGCTCTGGTCATCAAAGGATCGTCGGCTAGCAGCGCCTACGCCACGCTCAGGACAATCCAGACTCTTCGTGTGTCGTTCCACAGATGTGGAATGACCTACCAAGCACTACCAGAGCAGGGGCTTCCTAACTCCTGAAGACCCGGCTGTTCAGAGAGCATCTCCTAAACCAGCACCCGTCCCCCTTTCTACTGCACACTCCTTGTTCACTTCCCTTTAGGATTGATTCTGCTGCCTCACTGCCACCTAGGACTGACTGAATGGTGCTTGTTGTTAGCCTCAAGGGCGACCTGCTGGCTTCACCGTCACCTGTAAGTGGCTTTGGACAGAAGCGTCTGCTACATACATAACAATATTTATTATAAACTGATTTTTATGGTTACCGTCATCTGTACACACGCATAACACAGTGGGCTAACATTAGCTACTGTTAACTGTTTGCTTTTCTTGCCTGCATGTTAGCTTGCTTGGTGTCCTAAACCACTACATGGACAGAGCCATGGCTGGATCAAGTAACATCAACAGTGTAAAAATAATCTCCCCTCTTATTTAAAATGTACTTACTACTTATATTATCGCTGCCCTTGGTTAAATGTTAATGTGTAGAGCCGAACCGTACACATGATCGTAGACGCCCTGGACAGCATAACAGCGTCGCCACCATGTTGGGTGAAACCTCCAGAGGATTCTGGCTCAGTATAAGCAGCCATCCACCATGACCCACTGGGGATGGAGAAGACAGAGCGCACGCACGCACACACACACACACACACACACACACACACGCACACGTGCGCCACAAACTTAACAGCTGAAATAGCAGGAAATAAAACAGTTAAAGAGCAGAATGTAGAAGAAAGTAGTCGAGTGTGAAAAGTGGTCAGTGTGTCCTCCAGCAGTCTAACCCTATAGCAGCATAAAGTGTGTGTGTGCTTGCGCGTGTGTGTGCGCACGCACGCGTGTGGGTGGGTTATGGGTCCAGGTTGGTGGTTCTGATTGTGTTTAGGCCACAGAAGGACTTGCTGGACCTGACGGACACCTCTGTATCCTGCAGGTTCTGAAGAGGATGATCAAGTGCTGCTCAATGTTGAATTGCCACACGCAGGTCAGAGGTCAACCCAACTGAACTGGTACCAAACAACATGCTAGTGTTTCTGTTGTTTAAGAAGGGTTCTGCTTTAACCCGATCCAGGTTGCGGTTTTATGTCAGTTTCTGAGGGAGGTGGACTACATGACCGCTTTCAAAGCTCTCCAGGAGCAGAACAGGTACCAGACAACAGGACCCGTCTCATGGTCCCATCAGAACCATTTCTAATCCCATGTTTCCACAGCCATGATGCCATGGACTCCTTCTATGATTACATCTGGGACGTCACCATCCTGGAGTACCTCACCCGTATCCTTCTGCTGGTAACCATGGAGACCTTCTTAATCAGAAACTGCCGTCTTTAGGGTTTGGTTCTGAATGAGCTCTCAGATATTCACCACAAACGGGGCGAGACTGAGAAGAGACAAGTCGCAGTGAGTCTTTAACCCTGGAATCTCTCTTCCTGTTCTGTTCAGTTGGGTTCCTGTGGCCCGGTGCCAGGTCTTCTCATCAGGACCTTAAAACTCATTAGAACATTTACACTCAGGGGTGGACATTAACTTCAAAACCAACCGGCCAGCCGGGCCGGTAACTCTGAATATTTACCGGCCCCGCCAAGAATCTACCGGCCCCGCTGGTCAGCTGCCAAAACGAGTCAAAATAACAACTGAACCGTTTTAAATGTAATAACCTTTATTTTGTACACATTTACAAACATAATAACGTATTCAAGTTTGAATTTGTTTGTTCCCTCAACAAAACACGATTTTGTCGTCGCATACTTCCGGCAAACAACGCAGTACATCACCAACTCCGCTTTGCTGTATTCGAGCCATTGGCCGTGTTCGAGATGAGCCAGTTCTGTGCAGATTAGATCACCGGTGATCGGCGTGCAGTGCATGCCGGTTTTGTGTCCGACTTGACGCCGACTTGCTCTGACGTCATGCATACGTAGGCAACGATAACCTCGTGAGATCAAGGCGGCCGCAGATTTTGGAGCAAGGCGCTACAGCTGCTCTCCACCAGCTGCAAAACCTAGAGGATGACGGGAAACGCCTGGCTCTCACCTGATCTAAGATCTGATTGGTTCATATTTTGATCCAAATATCCGGTGGTAGAACATGAAATGTTAGTAGGTCACATGTATTCTATAAATCATGTTATGTTGATGATAACAACAATATAGGCCATAAAGAGAAATGTGTTTTGTGTTCTTTTGTCACGTTTCCTATGAGCACACTGAAGCTACAGCTGATAACCTTTACTTATTATTACAGTCATGCCTTCATAAACAGTATATGATATCCACAAGCACGTGAGGATGTGTTTCAGCTGCTAACAGGCACCAGAATTACAATTGAAAATTGAACAAGTGTGAATGCTAACGCGATATCTTCATCCATCGTCACCCCCGAGCTACACATCCAAGAGATTCAACTGGCAGAAACAACTGGTTCACACCATAGTCTCTCTCTCTCTCCTCTCCCTCTCTCCCTCCCACTCACTCACTCACTCACTCACTCACTCACTCACTCACTCACACACACACACACACACACACACACACACACACACATACACACGTAGAGGAAAAGAGCTGAGGAAATTGAGGACACCGGATAGTTAAAAGAAAAACTACAGCGGAGCCGAGGCGCGCCTCAATGGGGCGCGTCTGATCTGAACTGAGGAGCGGCGAGCAGCGGCCGGACTTCGTGAGCGATGCGCTTCGGGCGCTTCCGCGGCCGGTGTGTCCCCGGCGAAACGCCGGCTTTCAGCCACTCCCCCTGCTGCTTCCGTCTGTTTTCCAGGCGATGCGCTGCTCAACTCGAACACGGCCATTCTCTGCACCTCCCGTCTTCTTTAAACCGCCACGAATCGTTCCACCTACGCACACGCTTCTCTGTTTCATACCGTTTCGAGCTGTCTCGCTTCTCCTCACCAGTTTTAAAGCGTTTTGCTGGAGATTTCATCAAGAAATCCCATCCCTGTGGCGGCGGCATCTCCCTGCGTGCTTGTGTGTTTCTAGCGTGGTTCCACTTCGTCTTTAATAGTGAACTTATAGTTCACGTGACTATAACTAATCGTGCAGTACGTGCACGATTCGTACAAGTGCAGTAGGTGGCTAGAGGCGCGCAGGTTCACGTGCGCGAAACGAAAACGGCAGCTTCCTACAGGGCGGGGCCATGATGTAGGCGAAAGCCGGTGTGTAAATGACAAATAAGGCTTGGGCGCCACCCGGGCAGTAAGTCGTCAAGTATTTACCGCCTGACGAGAAAATTTAGCGCCATTGGCGCTCGGGCGCTTTAATGGTCCACCCCTGTTTACACTGAGTTGGGCTGTGGTCCTAGCCTGGTATTTAGTCTGGCAACGCTCCATTGGTGGCTCTCGGTCGTGGGGCGGGTTCTACCGATCTCCACATGCTACTGGACCATGAGCAACGTGACGTACTCCCCGTAACAGATGTCGTAAACGAGGCGGTCCGTGGTTGCAGGTGAAAACGCTTCCTGTTTTCTAAATAAAGGACTTAAACACATGGATCTGCTCCTGGTTCTAGTGAAGCCCAAAAGTCCAAAGTGGATGTAAAAGTCGCCATCTTGTTTCACTCTGTTGCATCATCCCACCCACCAGACAAATAGAGTGCCCTGATTGGCCCACAAAGCGGATAAAGCGCTGTGATTGGTTTACAAAGCAGATAGAGCACTTTGGCCCACCATTATGGACCAATCACAGCTCTCTATTTGTTTGAAACCCATCTAGAGAGCTGTGATTGGCCAGCCAGGATGCTGCTAGGGGCTGCAGAGGTTCCAGTGGAGTGTTGCTAGACCAGACTTTGGTCCACTAGGCTACTGTGGTGCAGTACCGGTCCAGCAGCTCCTGGTTCTGGTCAGAGGGACCTCCCACAAATGTGCAGGCTGAGCAGCAGCTGTTAGTGAGTGACTCAGTTTCTGCTCCGTGTTCAGATGAAGGCCATCGGACAGACGGAGCTCAACAGCAGCAATCCAGAGGAAGTTCTGCAGCTGGCAGCTCAGAAGAGGAAGAAGCGGTTCCTGCAGGCCATGTCCAAACTCTACTTCTGACTCACCTGTTCCCTCACTTTGCTTTGGTTTTGTACAAATAAACTTTTGGATGAATGCAGTCGGTTCTCGTCGTTTTATTTCTCTGAAACTAAATGTTTGAAGTTCCTGAAGCAGCAGATTCTGATCATATGTGCCAGGGAGAAACCACACAGATGGGGTCAAAGGTCATCTCCTAGCTGCCTGTAGACCACAGCTAACCCTCAGATAGCAGGTGTCGCGAGCGTGTCCTATTTATCGGTTCCTTTAAAACCTGGTTCCGTTAGAACTTAATAAGACTGCGCTGCTTTCTCAGGGTTCGTGGGGCGTGGGTGAGTTTTTATTGTATTAGACCCTGGTTTGGACCCCCTAATTAGAATCAGTTTCCTGTTTTAAGGAGAAATGATACGCCGTACTTGTTCTTCTGTGATAGCACACTTCCTTTTAGATACTCCCGTTATCTAGTGGTTTAGATACCAGGGCAAAGTTCAGCGGGAGGCCATCCGTCGCTGACAATTCTTTGGGTTATTAGGATTAATTTGCGTCTCTGTCAGCTTTTGTGGGCGGTGGTAACTAGAAAATGATTCTTGTTAGTTGATCAGGCTAACATAGATTTATCAATTAATCTAATTAATCCAACCTTCCCACGCTGGCGGAGACTTTTTCACACTTGCAAACAGAGCCTATTTAACCTACTAATGTTTTGGCTTATCTTCCTTAAGACATCTCGTTACTCGCGGGAGAGGAGAAGACGAGCTTCTTTACTTAAGGTTTCTTTTTATTAATCTGTCACAAATCGTAAAGCAAATCCTGATAATTCAGGAACCTGTAATTAATGTGCTTACCTCTCCTTAAGATAGGTCGGGGCTCCCACTCGAACCTTTAAAAAAGGATTTTTAAGAATCAGGAATGTGGATTCTTTTTCAAAAAGTTTATTACAAGATTAAAAAATACAAAAAATGGGTAGATATAAGACTGATCACTACCCCCAAAGAGAAATTAATCGTAATAATTAACTAAGAATAATGAGTTGGCTTACACCAACTCTAAATCTTCATCAGCTTCAGATTAATATCCTCTAACATACGCTCACTGACTCTCTCAAAAATTGCTAAATACAAAAAAATGAGTAAATATAAAAATAACCTATCCCCTGTGGAGGATGCTAATGCTAAAATCTTCCTGACCTCTTCTATCCCAAATCTGCTGTCTCTCACTGTCGACTGCCCCAACTGTGTCAGCTCTGCTTCTAGCTGCTCTTTTATACTCTTCTTGGGACCGCCTAGACAAGGTAAAAAGTTCACTAGTTACACATAAATCATGATCACGTGACAGTAAGGTCATGGGGTCATCTACCAGATACACACTTTTTTAGTTCAACACATTCTTCAGGACGGCTTTTCAGCTGAACTCAGGCCATTAGGTGTCTTTTCCCAAAGTCCAGCATTCCTCATGAAGGCTTTCCGTCTCCTGATAGGCTCTTTTCAGTCTGTCTCCTTTGGTTCCACCCCTCCTGCTGATGGCTGGGTCAGACACTTCTTGAACTTCTGCCCAATTTTGCTCCCAGAAGCAAGTTCTGATCCCTTATCTCTGCGACCCTTCCGTGACCCTCGCTTCTCGCCACAGTTTCTGACCCCTTGGATTCTTCATGAAGGGTTTGTCTACTTCTGAGATGCTTTATCTTCAGTTGATCTTCTTTTGTCCCAGCTTGGATGTTTGATGTGCAGTTGGGCCCCTGTCTTCTGGCTGATTTTACTCGCATAAGCAAGTTCAGTGTGTTTCAGTGTGGGTCCAATCTGATCTCTGTGGCCCACCTGTTGACTCCGTTTCTTGCCACTGTCTTTGGCATGTGGGAACTTGCAACACAGGTTCAAGGTCATGACCTCTGAGGTGGGCAATCTTTAATTTGAATGAACCAGAAATCCTCTGGAAAACTGACGTTTACCCACAATGCACTGCATGTGCGATGATGATCAGGATCTCCATCCAGGTTTCCGTTTGTCAGCTGAAGGTCCACCACAGCCGCCGCTGTTGTATCCTCTGACTAGCGTGGTGCCACTGGGGTTAAGGTAAGAGTCGGGGCAGGGTCAGACTGGCATACGCTGTAATACGGGTATGACAACCTGACTGTGGAGCTTCGACAGAACCGGTGCCAGGTTAGCTGGCATCGTTTTCACCACCAAGACGCTCTGATTACATCATCATAAAACACATGTAGGGGAGGAGAAATGAGAAGGTTCCACCAAAGTTCCCCAGACACACGAGCATTTTTACAACTGGGTGAGCCGAACTTTCAAGGTTTTTGTTTGAGTTCTTTTCAGATCAAACGTCACAAACTGAAGGAGAGAGAGTAAGTTCAAGCTGCATGACCCGATGACCAACGTTTCTGCTCTGACCGTACGAGTGAGTCTTGTACGCTTTGCCACCATAGAGCTTACATTTATGTTGAAGGGTTCGGGTCAGTACCGCCCAGTGAGAGCACGTCCTTAGACGTACGGGTTCGGGTCAGTACCGGCCAGTGAGAGCACGTCCTTAGACGTACGGGTTCGGGTCAGTACCGCCCAGTGAGAGCACGTCCTTAGACGTACGGGTTCGGGTCAGTACCGCCCAGTGAGAGCACGTCCTTAGACGTACGGGTTCGGGTCAGTACCGCCCAGTGAGAGCACGTCCTTAGACGTACGGGTTCGGGTCAGTACCGCCCAGTGAGAGCACGTCCTTAGACGTACGGGTTCGGGTCAGTACCGCCCAGTGAGAGCACGTCCTTAGACGAACACGCTCACAAAGAGGCCATGTTTTCCTTCACTTATAAGCTAAGCTAGCAGCTCGTGCCTGGTTTTCTAACCCTGGTCCAGGCTGCTCTTCCTTATGGTTCTGACCGTGTTCAGGTGCTCAGAGGCCGTCCTATAAGCTGATAAGGCAGCGTGTCCTCCAGGTTCTGCCCAGCGCAGGTGCAGACTGGGTGGAGGTTCTGGGGGGTTCTCCTAGCTGTCACTAACTGAATCTGGACTGGAACCAGACAGGTGTGGTGTGTCTGTGGCTCCACACCGCATCCCAGCATAGCTCCAGAAGGATCTCCTTCAGGAAGCAGTATCTGCTCAGGAGCCACTCAGGATACTCACCACAGATCAGAGCACTCACGGAGGACCCGCTTCCTCCAGAGAGCACGTTCATCCAGATCCATCAGCAAGAGCAGATCAGCCATGCTACCATGTCAGGTTCCTGTGGGTCACCAGCGGGTATGTGACACAGCTGCTTCTCCACAGACATCCTCACTGACCGGGTCCAGTTAGTGGATGCTTGAGAACTTCGGTGTTGTGGTTCCCCCGTTCTACCACTAGATGCAGCTCCTGCATGGTCAGGCCTGTTCTGTTTAGGACCTTCTAACGTTTAGCTCATTTTCATCCCATGATGGGGACTGGGTGACCTCTAACCCTTAAGCCAAAGTGTCAACTTTCATCCTGGTGCAGCACAAGTTGGGTCCAGCCCCATTACGAAGTGCAACCAGGTGTTGCTGTGATGCTCTGGCCACGCCCACCCCTGTGGGAGGAGAATCCCAGGAGCAGCTTGGACGTGGTGAACATATTTGCTGACCTTCATGACCTTTCTGGTTCGCTCTGATCTGATGGCTTACATCACTCGGCTCCACCAGTGGTCTCACATTTACTGTCCCTCCCACACAGGTGGGTGTGACCTCAGCCAGCCGTGTTGGCCCCACCCACACCAGGTGACACTTCTGAGAAAATCTGTTGAGATTTACAGAAAGAGCCTTTAATTCTAACTGCTTGACACGATTAGCTAAAGATAAAGTTTAAACTGTTTCTGATGAAGGTTGATTATTTTCTGTAAAGTAAGGATTTGTCACAAATGTCCTCTAAAGCACTCCAGCTGACCCCAGGGTCTGGTTTTTCATGTGTGGGACTAGAACATCAGAACTTCCTGCTCTGATGTAACAAATGGGAAGTTCAGACTCACGAAGAGGAAACCAGAAGCTTCGACATTTCAGAGGCTGAACGCTTTGCTGCTGGCTCTTCAGCAGGATGAAGCTGAAGCTCCTCTTCCTCCTCAGCTGCTTCTACCCAGGTAACGTCTTCTCCTCTGACACGCTGCAGCATCAAAGTTTGATGTTCTGTTTGACCCTGATGAAAAACACAGATACTCCGGAAAAAAGATCGTGTTCCTACTCTGGGGAAAACTGTGGGCCAATGGGGAATGGCTGCTCCATCCCAACACACACACACACACACACACACACACACACACGGCTGGATCACATGGTGTGAAATCAGACTATTTACTGTTGCAGGTATTGTTTGATTGGGACCCCGGCCCTGTAGCGGACTCCTCTTAGGTCCAGACAAGGTTTCTGGTCATCAGCTCTTGAAAAGTCTTTCTTTTTGAAGTTTTTCAGTTTTTACCCGACGAAGATCTGACAGCAGGCGGGAATGAAACGGAGAAGCAGCAGAACTTCAGCAGTAAGTCACACGCTTTTCTGCAGCATCAGTTTAAAATCACCGTTGCCATCAAGAGACAAAGGATGCGTGAGTCACAGGATGTGGGAGTGGGGGGTGACCTGCTTATGAGATGATTGTTGGAGGACTCTCATGCTGCACCTGACTTCCTCTTCCTGTCTCTTCAGCCTACATGAATTCCTTATCAGATTAAAACTTACCTGACCTTCTGTCTACCTGACCTCAGGTGACCCCTACGTTCACCACCTCGCTGCTATGGACTCTCCGAGTGTCTGGGAACAGGAGCAGTGACCTGGTTCCGCTGCCATCAGAGTTGGTGGATGTGTTGGCTGAACACATCTGTGAAGATCTTACCTGTGGAGGTGTTTATCACGTGACCAAAAGCAGCTCACCCTCCGGCACCAGCGGCTTTCACGGCTGTCAGTACCAAAACCAACATTTGCAGAACTGCTCAGAGACGGTGGGGACCAACTGCTCCGTGCTCTCTGAGGTGGTCTGTGGTGAGGCATTCTGAAAAATCTAAATTTAAACAGCTCCCATCATAATGGAGATGACCTTTGACCTTAGTGTGACCCGTTTCTAACCCTCAGCTCAGCAGCCTGTGCGTCTGTCTGGAGGTTGGGACCGCTGCTCTAGGCGAGTGGAGGTCTGGAGGGATGGGACTTGGGGGACGGTGTGTGATGACCTTTGGGACCTGAGGGATGCTGAGGTGGTTTGTGCCCAGCTCAGCTGTGGCTACACCCTCAGCGTGACGGGTCAGAATGGCCAGTTTCCCCCCGGCAGCGGACCTGTTTACCTGGATGAGCTGAACTGTACCGGCTCAGAGGACAACCTGTGGGCCTGTCCGTCCACACCTGACCAGTCAGACTGTGGACACAAAGAGGATGCTGGTGTGGTGTGTTCAGGTTGGTTTAGAACCTTAATGTGTCTGTGGGTTCTGCTTAGAGGAGCTGAACAAGAATCTGTCTCCATGGCAACCTCCACTGGGGTTATCTAAACATCTCCATGTTTCTGTGCAGAGATGAGGGCCATCAGACTGACTGGGGGTCTGGACCGATGTTCTGGTACAGTGGAGGTCCATCGTAACGGCAGCTGGGGGACATTCTGTGATAACTGCTGGAATGTAAAGATGGCGTCCATGGTGTGCTCCATGCTGGAGTGTGGCGTAGAGCCTCTGAACTTCACAGCATTTAATCCTCCTCTGGCTGCGGACCGCGGCGCTGCGTCGTACTACTATCACTGTACCTCCTATAACCTGAGTCTGTGGGAGTGCGAGGAGATGATCAATCATGCGTTTCTGTGCGACTTGTCCAAACCCTCCGGACTCATCTGCAATGGTGAGTTAGCAAAAATTCCAGCGGCAACGTTCTACAAAAGCTTGTCCGGGTTCAATGAAAGTTTGTCTTTTTTTGTTCTCCTGCAGGTTCCCTCGGGTTGGCTCGAGCCACCACAGCTAGTCCAACCCTGGTCACTAACTGGACAACTGGTAACTAAAGCTTTTAGTGATAATTGTAAGTAAACAAGAAGGGAGTGACGTGTTTGATGTCTTATAGCTGTAACGATCTTATCAACTGCTGCCGGTGCTGCTTCACCAAAACCATCTCCAGAACTTCTAAGCACCATCGCTTTGGCTCTTCTTCTCCTTGTGGTCCTGGTCATAAACACAGTGCTCTGCTGCCTCTACAGGAAGCGACATGGTGAGAGCAGGAGTGTGTCTCATTTTTCCATCCATTATCATCCGGTTATCCGGAGTCGGGTCACGGGGGCAGCAGCCTAAGCCCAGACTTCCCTCTCCCCAGCCACTTGGGCCAGCTCCTCCGGGGGAATCCCAAAGCGTTCCCTGGCCAGGTGAGAGACATAGTCCCTCCACCGTGTCCTGGGTCCAGGAGGCATCCTGACCAGATGGATGCCCGAGCCACCTCAACTGGCTCCTCTCGATGTGGAGGAGCAGCAGCTCTACTCCGAGTCTTTCGGTCACTACCCAAAGCTCATGACCATAGGTGAGGGTAGGAACGTAGATCGACCGGTAATTCGAGAGCTTCCCCTTCTGACTCAGCTCTCTCGTCTTCACCACGACAGACCAGTACAACGCCTGCATCACTGCTGACGCAGCACTAACCTGTCACGTTGAGCGCTGGAGGAGTTGGACCCGATGTGCAGACACCCAGAACAACACGAGGCAGGAGAGGACGTAAAAGTAAACATTCTTTATTTAGAATGAAAAAACCCTAAAGACCAAGTAGGGCACGAGGCTAAAAATGGATCGTCAACATATTGAGACGCAGACAGGGTTTTATATACAAGGGCAGGACGATTAGGAGATGAGCTGCAGGTGCGTGGGGACAGAAAACCCAAGGAGACCTGGTTAAATCAATTTTCTAATTAGGGAGAGGAGTCTAAGCTGAGGAGGGGAAAAAGACCAAACCTAGGGACAAGAAGAACAAGATGAATAACTAATGATCTGAGGAGGAAGGGAGAACTAAGAACCCGGTGGGGAAGGAACAAGGAAGGAAACTAAAAGAAAACCTGAACCTATGAAAACTATAGGGAAAAACTAGCTAGATAATATAAATACAAAGATAAATGAGCGAACCTGGGAAACCTGGTGGGAGCTGGAGACAAGAAGGGGCACAGGAAGCTTAGGTACCTTAGGGGGATCCTAGAGGGACACCTGGAGGGGTTGGGGAACACAAGGAGACACATAAGGGGGACGCAGAACATGACACAACCCGCCTATCGATCTCATGTTCCAGTTTTCCCTCACTCATGAACAAGACCCAGAGATACTTAAACTCCTCCACTTGGGGCAGGACCTCATCCCTGACCCGGAGAAGGCATTCTACCCTTTTCCGAATCAAGACCATGGTCTCAGATTTAGAGGAGCTGGTTCTCATCCCAGCTGCTTCACACTCGGCTGCGATCTGCTCCAGCGAAAGCTGAAGATCACGTTCTGATGAAGCCAACAGGACCACATCATCTGCAAAAAGCAGAGACCTGATCCTCAGGCCACCAAAACGGATGCCCTCCACACCTTGGCTGCACCTAGAAATCCTGTCCATAAAGGTTTTGAACAGAATCGGTGACAAAGGGCAGCCTTGGCCGAGTCCAACTCTCACTGGGAACGAGCCCGTCTTACTGCCAGCAATACGGACCAAGCTCTGACACTGGTCATACAGGGACCTAACAGCCCGTATCAGAGAGCCTGGTACCCCATACTCCCGGAGTACCCCCCACAGGGCCCCCCGAGGGACGCGGTCGAACACCTTCTCCAAATCCACAAAACACATGTAGACTGGTTGGGCAAATTCCCACGCACCCTCCAGGATCCCCCTAAGGGTATAGAGCTGGTCCAGTGTTCCACGGCCAGGACCAAAACCACATTGCTCCTCCTGAATCTGAGGTTCAACAATCCGACGGACCCTCCTCTCCAGAACCCTGAATAGACCTTACCAGGAAGGCTCAGGAGTGTGACCCCCCTGTAGTTGGAACACACCCTGCAGTCCCCCTTTTTATATAAGAGGACCACCACCCCGGTCTGCCAGTCCAGTGGGACTGCCCCCGATGTCCACGTGATACTGCAGAGCTGGGTCAGCCAACACAGCCCCACAACATCCAGAGCCTTAAGGAACTCTGGGTGGATCTCATCCACCCCTGGAGCCTTGCCACAGAGGAGCTATTTAACCACCTCAGTGACATCAGCACCAGAGATTTGAGAGGCCAACCCAAAGTCCCCAGACTCTGCTTCCTCACTGGAAGACATGTCGGTGGGATTGAGGAGGTCTTCGAAGTATTCTGCCCACCGATCCACAACGTCCTGAGTAGAGGTCAGCAGCACACCGTCCCCATTATAGTGTTGGTAGCGCACTGCCCCCCCCCCCCCCCCCCCCCCCCCCCCCCCCCGAGGTGCCGGATGGTGGACAAGAATCTCCTCAAAGCCGTACAGAAGTCTTGCTCCATGGTCTCTCCGAACTCCTCCCATGCCTGAGTTTTTGCCTCGGTGACCAAACGAGCCGCATTTATTTCTTCAGCTTGACAGCATCCCTAACCACCGGTGTCCACTTTGGGGGTTGCCACCACGACAGGCACCGACGATCCTGCGACCACAGCTGCGGTCGGCCGCCTCAACAATGGAGGCACGGAACAGGGTCCATTCAGACTCAATGTCCCCCGCCTCCCCCGGAACATTTTGGAAGTTCTGTTGGAGGTGGGAATTGAAGCTCCTTCGTACAGGAGACTCTGCCAGACGTTCCCAGCAGACCCTCGCGATACGTTTGCGCCTGCCTGGTCTGACCGGCATCCTCCCCCACCATCTGAGTCAACTCACCACCAGGTAGTGGTCAGTTGACAGCTCCGCCCCTCTCTTCACTCGAGTGTCCAAGACATGCGGCCGCAGGTCAGATGAAACAACAACAAAGTCGATCATTGAGCTGCGGCCTAAGGTATCCTGGTGCCAAGAGCACATATGGACACCTTTATGTCTGAACATGGTGTTCATTATGGACAATCCATGACTGGAACAGAAGTCCAATAACAAAACACTCAAATTCAGATCGGGGGGGGGGGGGGGGGGGGGGGCGTTCCTCCCAACCACAACTCTCCAGGTCTCACTGTCGTAGCCCACGTGGGCGTTAAAGTCCCCCTTTCTTTGTGAGAGCAGCTTCTTGGCCCTTGTTCGGCTAAAGACAAAACTGAGAAACAGACTGGACATTGAGCATGATCTCAGAGTTGATTTGTTTACTATCAGAACTTTAAATGAAACTTTTTTTAATTAAATAAATAAGTTGAAAATTTTCCTAAATATGGGTCACAGCTTGTCATTAAAAGGTGATAGTGGGTCTCGAACTCAGATCACTTGGGAAATGCTGCTGTAGAGGATTATTGGAACAGTAGGTCTCAAGTGGGTTAGGGTTATTAAACACAACAGGACGGGTATGGGTATTTTTTTCTAATTTATTTATCAAACAAGTACAGTGAAAATGCTTTAGCCACTTTTTCTTGCTCTGCAGTCTGAACAGAAAACGATCCAAACCCAACGAACGACGGCATCCTCTAATTATTATTGACCTTCACAACAAACAGAGTAGAGGAGGTCAGGATGAACAGTCTCTCGTTAGTTGCTCGGAAGCCCAGGATTGGCTTGTCTGAGTCTAGGCTGGCCACCTGTTGCTTAGCAACCTCTCCCACCTGGCGGCCCTGCTTCCTGTTGAAGAGGACGGTCTCCACTGGCGACGGCTGCCGATAAATGAAGGTGCGACGAATACACTCGCACAGAGATGCATAGGAGAAATTAGGTGCACAGGTGGAAAACTTCTTATCCTGTTTAGATGCCTGAACATAACCTGAGAGGAGACATAAAAAGAAGGAGCTTCAATATGCAAGACTTCCCCTTTTCAGGGAGAAAAAACAGCATTTCACAACAGAGTAGCACTAGAAAATGTATCCAATCATGCTGGAAAACAGCCTGAATGTGTTTTCCACGAGTCTCTGGAGCTTTCTTCATTAATCAGATAGAAAAAAATTATGATCTCTACCTAAAGCGTTGAAGGTGGCAATGTGCTCCCACATGTTCCTGGGCTGCTCAGGTCGAGGCTGCCACACTAGAGCGTCCACATCATGTCGAAGACAGAGGCACGGCATCTCAGACGGCTCTACATCCACCGTGAACAGGTACTGGTGGCTCCCAAGGTTCACCTGAACAAATGTACACAACCGATGTATTTAACACCACACACACACACACACGAAAACATACACACACGAAAACACACACACACACACACACACATGAAAACACACACACACACACACACACACACACACACACACACACACACACTAGGGCAGGGAAAATTAGCGCGTTAATTATTAGCGGTAATTTTGTTACTTCAACGTGTCTTCCCTCCTTGCACTCACAGAGTACGGTCGCTTCTGCTTTGCTCCCTTATCTTTTTTCCCAAGGCTCTTTTGTCCGGTCTGCCTACAGAGCGCTTCTCTGTATTTCCTCTGGAAATTCCTATTTTTCAGAAATGGATTTAATTAACTGGTCATTCAACGCAACTGATAAGATTTTTTCTACGATGAGAACGGAGGAGGGGGCTCGCTCATGCCCTCACGGGACACATGCAGCGGGATATATTTTCGATCCCTGGAAGAAGTGGAATGGGTTAGGGTTAGGGTTAGGGTTACCCTAACCCTAACCCTAACCCTCCATTGAGGATGTCGAAGATGTGTGGATATTTGGCCTGATGATCACTGGATTTCTTCTGATTGGAGTGGGAGGATATCTGGTTTTCCGAAAAATTGGGATGACGGGAGCGATTGGAGGGCGACCCGCACCCATGGACGGCACCGTCCGGGCAGAGACCTCACAGACTGGGACGTTACTCGAGGTGAATCGTAAGCTGGACAATGTCTTAGCTGTGTTAGCGCGCAAAATGGATGTAATCTCGGAGAGGGTCACCGGACGGTGTGGAGATGTTTAATAACCCGAATTGGCTTCACTGAAGGACTGGAATGACCAGTTACAGACTGAAGGCAGAGGGGAAATTATCTCTGCCTGACCCAAACAAAGTCTTGTTATCCTAATCTGACGCCAATGCAGCCTTGAAGCTGCAATCAACGAACCCACGAAGGAAGGAATGCAGACAGATGCTGTGGAAACCCGTCCTACCCATCCCCCCCCCCCCCCCCCCCCCCCCTTCAGATTGTGGACTTCACAGCGAGGCCATCAACCTGCAGGAATGTGCTCTATGCTCCTCCCAAGATCTCTCTCCCTCCTGTGGACACAGCTGGCTGAGCGCCGCACATGGCTGCTGGCCCTGGATAAACAGGATCCCAGCCCCCCCCCCCCCCCCACCCCCCGCCCTAACGGAGTCTCATGTTGTGAATGTTGAAGTTCGTGCTTATATGTCTGAGGTGTTTTTTTTTTTTTTGCATAGTACAGCTACGCCCTGTCGGGTGTAACTATGATATGCCTGTTTTTTCCCTCCACCAACCTATCCTCATGTAATTCCTTCTCATCTATTAAGGTAGCGCGACTCATGTTGCGAATGACCGCAGTCACCAATTCTTGTCGTGTCTTGCCCATGTATGTCTGATCTCTGAATTGTGTGTACTGAAACTCAATTCCGTTTCCCTGTATGTCCTGCACATGTGGTAGAAATGACAATAAAATGACTTTGACTTAAAAGTAAATGACGTAATTTATTTGACCATCTCTCCAACCTGGAGCCACCATCTCCAAAATTTCTCCATATTTCCCCCTGGACAATATTGCTAACATCATTTAATGAGCCTAAAAAATGACCAAGTTTCTACCATATTATGGACTCTCAGCATAGATGATTCTTTTGAGAGGAGAAGATGAACAGAGGCAGAGCGTCATGGGCTCCACCAGCTTCTGCGTCTTGCGCATGGCCACAGTAACGCCCTCAAAGCGGCGCCACCAAAATAAATGTAACACAGGATCGATCATAACTGCTTTGGTACTTTCTTTTGTTTGTGGCTGACGCGTATCGCTGCTGCGCTCATCGCCCGTGCTCCACGGCCGTGACCAGGCAGTGTTTTTTTCTGGAGAACTAGATCCTGCATCTGCCACAGGGAGATGCAGGACCAGAGACAGACAGGACAGGATAAGAGTCAAATAATAAGAAAACAAATCAAAGAGCTTAGAAAGGAAATTTAGAATTTAAAACATGTAATGGGATAGATTTATCCCATTACATGTTTTAACGTTCTAAAGTAAATATTATTTATAAGCTCATAATATTCATATATTCCATATGTCACGCGCGTGTGTCGAGGTGAGCTGAGGTGAGGCAAGGATCCACACGCGGGGAGGAAAACAGGCAGGCAGGTGAGAACTTCTAACATTGATTTATTAGAGTCACACGCTGGAACACTGAAACAATGACACGACAGGGAACACAGAACAGAAGGGGTTTAAATACAAGATGAGCGGGAGCTATGGTGATTGGGAAACAAGAGGCAGGTGGGAGCAATTAACGGAGAACAGACTCAACCTAAGAGTAGACAGGACAGGGCGTGACAGTACCCCCCCCTCAAAGGGCGGATCCCAGACGCCCACAGGAACAAGGAGCAGGGCGGGAGGAGGGGGACCCGGAGGGAGGGCCCAGAGGAACCGAGGGACCACAGGAGAGGCGGCAGGGATCAGCAGAGTCAGGAGGCCTGCGCCTGCTGCAGATGAGGAGGCGACGGGCCCTTGGAGGCCGGCGCCTGGGGCAGATGAGGAGTCGACGGGCCCTTGGAGGCCGGCGCCTGGGGCAGATGAGGAGGCGACGGGCCCTTGGAGGCCGGCGCCTGGGGCAGATGAGGAGGCGACGGACCCTTGGGGGCCTGCGCCTGGGGCAGAAGAGGAGGTGACGGACCCTTGGGGGCCTGCGCCTGGGGCAGAAGAGGAGGTGACGGGCCCTGGGAGGGCGGCGCCTGCGGTAGAGGAGCCCTGCAGGCTGGGCCGGGGACACAGGCAGGACCGGCGACAAAGTCCCTGCAGGCTGGACCGGAGCGACCTTCAGAGTCACCATCAGAACCGGACACGGAGGAGACGTCAGACCAGACGCGACGTCATCGGACGAGCCGACTTCAGGATGGGAGGCGGCGACGTCATCGGACGAGCCGACTTCAGGAGTCGAGGCGGCGACGTCATCGGACGAGCCGACTTCAGGAGTCGAGGCTGCGACGTCATCGGACGAGCCGACTTCAGGATGGGAGGCGTCGACCCTTGGAATGGAGGAGGCGTCGACCCTTGGAATGGAGGAGGCGTCGACCCTTGGAATGGAGGAGGCGACGACCCTTGGAATGGAGGAGGCGTCGACCCTTGGAATGGAGGAGGCGTCGACCCTTGGAATGGAGGAGGCGACGACCCTTGGAATGGAGGAGGCGTCGACCCTTGGAATGGAGGAGGCGTCGACCCTTGGAATGGAGGAGGCGTCGACCCTTGGAATGGAGGAGGCATCGACCCTTGGAATGGAGGAGGCGTCGACCCTTGGAATGGAGGAGGCGTCGACCCTTGGAATGGAGGAGGTGTTGACTTTCATCCGCTTCTGGTCCTCTGGCTTCTGGACCGCCAGTCCCCGAACCGCCGACCTCTGGGCTGGTAACGTCTGCTTCTGGGCCTGCACCGGACCCATCTGCTTCTGGGCTGATACCGTCTGCTTCTGGGCCCGCATTGTCTGCTTCTGGGCCTGCACCGTCTGCTTCTGGACCCCCCCTGGAACAGGCCTTGAGTGAACGAGCAGTGCTAGTGCTGAAGACAGGGAGCGCAGAGAGTCGAGTCGGAGCTGATTAGAATGGGCGCTCTGTTGAAGCCGGACCAGCTCAGCCCGTTGACTGGCCAGTTCAGTTGGCTGGACTGTGGGTGTGGCTCCACCTCACACAGATGACAGAGGAGCCGAGTGGACCGGAGGCGGGACAGCTGGTTCAGCCGGAGCCGCGAACAGTTCGTCCAGCTGGAGCTCAGCGAGCAGATCGTCCAGCTGGAGCCCGCGGAGTTCAGCGAGCAGATCATCTAGCTGGAGGACTTGGAGTTCGATGGTCTGACGAACCTGGGCTGTTTCAACCTGTAGACTGGCGTGCTCCGCCCACAAGGCTGCGAGCGCAGCTCCTCCTCCTGCAGACGCCGATTCGGCCGGAGACGGGACCGCTGGTCTGACCGGGGGCGTGTCCGAAATGGCTCGCCGAGCACGGCCAGCGGTGGGCTCGCAGCTCCGTCCTGAAGCGCAGGGCTGCGGTGGATTCCGGCGTCTCTCCCCACGCCGTGGACCAACCCCGGGGGAGCAGAAAGCCAGCCTCGTGCCCTCGAAGCTGGAGCGATCCCGGAGCATCTCTCCCTCCAACCTCCCGTCCGGTTCCGGAAGGGCGGCGAGGAACGCCGAGGCAGAAGGTCGGGGACGCCGTCTGCGGCGAGGCGGGAGCTGGAGCTGGGGAAGGAGAAGCCGGTCGATAGTCGGCGGAGAAGAACTGGAATAAATACTTCCATGGGAGGATCTCCCCGCTGGACCCTTCAGGGGGTCGTGTCATTCTGTCACGCGCGTGTGTCGAGGTGAGCTGAGGTGAGGCAAGGATCCACACGCGGGGAGGAAAGCAGGCAGGCAGGTGAGAACTTCTAACATTGATTTATTAGAGTCACACGCTGGAACACTGAAACAATGACACGATAGGGAACACAGAACAGAAGGGGTTTAAATACAAGATGAGCGGGAGCTATGGTGATTGGGAAACAAGAGGCAGGTGGGAGCAATTAACGGAGAACAGACTAAACCTAAGAGTAGACAGGACAGGGCGTGACACATACAATTCAGATCACCTTCAAAACTCCAACACACCCAGGGCCATATCAAAGCATTTGGGAGCCATGCCAGCGAGGTGTCCCTTATTTTTTTGGGGGAGTTGGCAATCCTAGTTCAACTGATGCTGTGGAAAATGACATTTCAGAGTTTCCCTTACATAGGCGTAGCCGTGGCGGCCCGCCACGGCTGAAATCCCACCGCCACGCCTACAAGATCCCAAGTTTTTTTGTTTTTGTTGGCGCTGTTTCCCGAAGAAGCAGCGGGAATACTATGTTGTCGCTTGTGATCACAGCCGGCGGGCAGCAAGGAGGAGCAGGCAGAGCAAGGCGAAGTTACAGCATTAGTTACTGGGTTTAAAATTAGAAAGGTAGCAGTGGATATAATGCTTTTTGGTTTACATGTTTCAACAGCATTAAGATAAATGAGTGTTGACGATCTTGACAGGGTTTCCTCCAGTGCTTATTAGGCCAGGTTCTCCTCCCCCCACCAGGCTAAACATCACTTATTCATGTAAAATTTATTAATTTTTTCATGTCTGACTTTAACCACATCTAATACTGTATTACGGCGTGAGCGCAACAGCGACAGCTTAAGATCGATGTGTGAGCAGCGTGAGAGGTCGGGTATTTTCACCTGAACCCTTAAAACCTCCAGCAGGCTACGCTGCACTATTGACGTGTTAGCGCGCGGCGCTAACAACTTAGTGACGTGACATGTCTCGGAGAAAGCGTAAAAACACGTTGGACACTTCTTCACTTCTTCTTCAATAACACTTCTTAAGCAGAGCACGACGTCGCCTCGGCTCGTTCACCCTCTGCCGAGCCGGTGTCGGTACAAGATCTGCTCGGGGTCCTTCGACTGCCGATGGTGTCAAAGTACGGCAAACCCACTCGGACAAAATACACTACACATCTATACTGTTGGAAAGAATTTAGCAGTTTCGTTATTAAAATAATGTTTCTTAAGACGTAAGTTTGTGTTTATAATGGTATTTGTAAAATAAAACACTAGATTGTATTCATAATGTTGAACTCCTCTTTGAGCACATTCCTTGAAGGATCATAGGCATTAGCAACACCTGTGAAATTGTATTTGTAGGAAAGAAGTGTGTCCCGTTTATTGAAGTATTTTGTGTTTAGTTTTTGACGTCTTGTCCATGCGTAGTTCAGGTACGCTCATAGCTGCTAGCCAAAACTCTGGAGTTAAAAGTTTTCTGGCTTTACTAAAATACCTGTCTGTACTTATTTGATTGATGATAGTTTTACTTTCTATTAGACTCCAAATGTAATCATTTGGCACGTTTCTAATTCATAATTTCTAAGAATGTAATCGGCGATATTAGCATTAGCATTCCTATGGGTTTTTCCACGTATATTAGCATTGCGCTAACCACTCGCTGCCAAATTGCAGCCTTTGCTATTAGAAAATCTCCTTTTGTCACATTGCAATTTAATTGCACATGCAATTAATCGTTCAGCCCTAATATACATGCAGCTCTAAGCTAAAAGTGTATTTTCAAAGAGGTAATGATGGATTTCTTTGTAAAAGTTGTCCATCTTTCCAACAGAAAAATTTGCCTGGACCAACGTAGCGTGATAACAACGTAACGTGATTACGCAATTCCGTAAGGTTCATGTTCAGTCAATCAACTACTTTGACGTCATCGGCAGTCGACGGACCCCGAGCCGATCTTGTACCCGAGCAGATCTTGTACCGACACCGGACTGAGCTCGATAACATTGACCCAGCACAGCCACTGGGTCGTTGGAGCTGCCCCGTGACTGCCTGATGGAAAACCAGCGGGTTTCATCAGACTGGTAAAGTTTCTTGTTTTTGCTGGGGACCCCCTGTATTTTACCGCTCCCTCCTGCAGTCTTCCCCTATTAACATTTAAAATGATTCTGTAAATTCGTGTATCAATAGAAAAAATCTCTGCCTCTGCCAGCTGCTGTAAATGTAGTCTCCAAATAATAAATAAGAGGTGCATTCATCTGTGTATCTCCTTTGATCCACATTAGTGATATTCTCAGCACCAGAACAGTGAAGCAAAGAAACAGATTCCTGAGTTTGTTAGTAATTTTATTTATTGGTGCATCTGACCTGTTCTATTTTTGAGATCAAATCAGTGCTTCTATGGGTTGTCTCCACTCTGCACTAGAAAATTTTACTTTATTTAGAGACGTGTCATAATTTCTCCCCAATATATATATATATATACACCATAAATCCTCTAACATTAGCCTGTATTTAATTAACTGCCGGGTATCATATTTTGGCCGGTGTCGGAGTCGGCAGAGGTGAATAACGGCCGGTCTCTTATTGTGGCCGGGTGGAATGCGGTAACAAGCAAGTACGGGGGGCGGTTGTGTCATCCGTCTCACTTTTGATTTGCCAGTGATAGACCGCGAGGGTAACTTTAACCGTGCGCAGACGAAGAGGAGGCAAAAATGTGATATCAAGTTCAGAGAACGTGCTTATTATGCTGCAGAACACTCTGGGGAGCAGTAGTAGGGGTTGTATGAACTAGTCACTAGTCGACTTCACCGCTCTATAGTGACTTGTTATGCCTGTCATCGACTAGTCGCTGTCATGTGATAATGACCGGCAAGATGCAGTCCTCGGAAAAGACAGCAGCCTGCTGTCAGCAGGTGACAAGCTCCTGCGCGTCGGGAGGCAACGCTCTGTGCCAGAGCATCGGCACTGTCACCCGCCGTAAAACGGACCTTTACCCAAATTGTGACCTTTACCCTCTTGCAATTTAACCTTCCCCTCACCCCATCCTAACCTTAACCAGCTTGTGCATGCAAAGCTCTGATTGTTGACGCGCTCCAGACATCTGCGTCCTGAGCACGGCCACAGTAACATTATCAAATCAGGCGTCGCCACCTCGAAAACTAATTTAACATGCGGTCGTTCATGTCGGCTCATTTCCTTTTATGTTTTCTGTC